ATTTCAACAGCTTAATTATGCAACTTTTCTATTTAGGGAAATAAAAGAGCTTCTAAAAATGAGAAGAAATAGTGCTTGCAGGCTGTTTCAGCTCCTCTGCACCTTGCATTTCTCGATTGGAAGCCATTGCCTATTTTGCAAATATTGTAAGTTGCCCAGAATCACCTATGTGTGAGTTGGGCAGCTATATAAATTTGTTTAATAAATAAAATAAATATTAATATGAGTGCCTGTCAAGGTACTCTGATCTGACATATTTATGCATGCCCGTGCACAGATTAATTGGGGTAGGGATGATTTCCAAAAGTGATTTTATTTGGAGTTTGCAGTTCTATATAGAGAAGTTCTATATGGAGAAGCAGGATTTCAGAAAATCCCACAGAACCAGAAAAGGAATCCTACAGAGATCCTATAGGAGCAAAAGAATTCTTCAAACCAGTCTCAAATGAGAAATAACAGACACAAGATAGATCTAGAGACCAACTAGAACTGTTGTGGAATAAGTGAATATTGTTATAGCTAAGAAATCAACCATTGGTTACAGACTGCAAATATGGAGGAAAAAAGCAGGCTGAATGAACATTGTCTCTGGCAACTATTTATTTATTTATTTATTTATTTATTTATTTATTCATTCATTCATTCATTCATTCATTCATTCATTCAAACAATTATTAGATAACAGGTATAAGTATAAACATGGTTATAAATACATGAAATGGATACGAATAAGAAAAAAAAGAAACAATAGGACAGGGACGTAGGCACATTTTGGTTCGCTTATGCATGCCCCCTACAGGCCTCTTAGGAAGGGGGTGAGGTCAATAGTAAACAGTCTAATGTTGAAGATTTTGGGGTTTGGGGAAGAAACCACAGAGTCAGGTAGAGTATTCCAGACATTGACTACTGTGTTGCTGAAGTCGTATTTCCTGCAATCAAGTTTGGTGCGGTTTATCTTTAGTTTGTATCTATTTTGTGCTCTTGTATTGTTTGGTTGAAGCTGAAGTATTCATTGATAGGTAGGACATTGCAATATATAATTTTATATACTTAGATTGAACCGAAGGCGGCGTAGTCCTAGGTTTTCTAGGTCTAGAATTTCAAGTCTGGTGGCATAAGGTATTCTGCTACAAGTAGAGGAGTGGAGAACTCTTCTTGTGAAATATTTCTGGACTTTCTCAACTGTGCTAATATCAGATACGTAATGTGGGTTCCAGACTGATAAGCTGTATTCAAGTATTGGTCTAGCAAATGGTTTATATGCTCTAGTTAGTAGAGTGATATTACCAGAGAAAAAGCTACGCAGGATTAGGTTAACAACTCTTAATGCCTTTTTGGCTATGTAGATACAGTGGGCTGTAGCACTTAGATCATTTGAGATGAGTACTCCAAGGCCCTTGACAAAGTTTTTGTCATCAACAAGGTCTTGACTATTCAGCTTGTATTTTATTTTTTGATTTTTTTTTGCCAGTATGTAAGATAGAGCATTTATTTGTTGAGATTTGAAGTTGCCATTTGTTTGACCATTCTGACACATAGTCGAGGTCTTTTTGAAGGGTAGCAGCATTGTCTGTGGTGTTGAATAGCTTTACATCATCAGCGAAGAGAACGCAGTTGCTCTTAATATGATCACAGAGGTCATTTATGTACAGTATGAAAAGAGTTGGTTCTAGAACACTGCCTTGGGGGACACCACTATTGACAGGTACAGAATTTGATAGGATGCTCCCAATTTTGACCATTTGTTGTCTGTTTGACAGGAATGCTTCTATCCAGTTATGCAGGTATCCAGAGATACCATAAGACCTTAGTTTTAGGAGTAGTTTGTTGTGTACCATTGAATCAAAGGCTTTACAGAAGTCTATGTAGATTGTGTCTATTGCTTTGCCCTGATCAAGTTGTGTAGTCCATATGTTTTTGCAGTGTAAGAGTTGCAAATTACAGGATAGTTTTTTTCTGAAACCAAATTGTTTATTAGAGAGTAGGTTCTTTGTCTCTAAGTGGAGGATAATGGATTGGTTAATAATTGAGTCCATGACTTTACAGGTGATGCAGCATAAAGAGATTGGTCTGTAATTTTCAACTAGGCTGGGGTCTCCCTTTTTGAAGGTGGGGATGACCGTGGCTTGTGACCATAGGTTAGGTAAGGAGCTGGTCCTGAAAGATTTTTCAAACATTATGCTTAGAGGTTTGGCTATGGCAGTGAATAGCTTTTTTAAGAAGTAGCCACAAACTATCTCTGAAGACTACTTTATAAAGCTCTTGGCAGCTGGCCTCTCCCAGGCTTTGCTGTCTGTCATTGTGGTTCTTGTTTCACGGAAGCTACATCTTACTCAGCTTTGCCCCTCATATGTTTAGGTTGGTTTTCTTCCTCTTGGCAACAGTGGCACTGCACGTGGCTCAGAGGTTGGAGCTGAAGAGACAAGCTGCTTCAGAGCATCCAGGTTTCTCTATCTCTTCCCTTGTCATCTCTTCCTGCAAGGAATAGCCTAGGGCAGGGGTGGGCAAACTACGGCCCGCGGGCCACATCAGGCCCGTTGGTCGTTTTAATATGACCCGCCTCTAAAAAAAAAATTCCCCTCTGAAAAAAAAATCGGGGCCGGCCAAAAGAGATCCCGCGCCGCACGCCAAAAAATCGCACACACAACATGGAGCTGGGCAGCCACTTCCCTGGTGGCGGGGCTGAGGCCGCCGCCCGGGGAACGCCCACTGCTTTCCCTCGCCAGGGCCGGGTGGTGGCATGTTGCCCTGCGCCGCGTGGCCCCTGCCTGGCAGCGCGCTTCTCGGCTGGTCTCCTCCTCCTCAGCCATACAGAACAAACAGGCAGAGGAGGAGGAGACCAGCCGGCTGGTTGGGGGAAGCTTTCTGCGCTGAAAGAGGCAGCTACTAATCTCCGGCTTTGCTCCGCTTCTCCAATGGTCCGGCACCACCCTGTTCTATGCGCCGGCTGCTCGGACTTGCTGGGCCTGACACATAGAACGGGGCGGCGCCGGATGTTGGAGAAGCAGAGCGGAGCCGGAGATCATTAGCCGCCTCTTTCGCAGCACAAGAAGCCTCCCCCAACTGGCCAGCTGCTCTCCTCCTTCTCTGCCTGTTTGTTCTGTATGGCCGAGGAGGAGGAGACCAGCCGGCTGGTTGGGGGAAGCTTTCTGCGCCGAAAGAGGCAGCTACTAATCTCTGGCTTTGCTCCGCTTCTCCAATGGTCCGGCACCACCCTGTTCTATGCGCCGGCTGCTCGGACTTGCTGGGCCTGACACATAGAACAGAGCATGCTGCAGGCATCTCGCGACAAGCCCCAGGACATGTGGTCACCTGCTGGCTGGCCGGGCCAGGCCGGGCTAGAAGAGGCACGTTCTCCAGAAGGAAGAAAGCGTGCTCTGGGAGGGCGGGTGCTGGGAAGGTGGGCGGATGTTCCGGGACCACTTAAAGGTCGACTTTAAGAGTGCCCCCATGGAAGAAGCCGAGCAAACGTAGTGGCAGCAGGGGTGACGGGGCATGCGTGTCCCTCCACAAGGAGTATGAAGGGAGGCAGACACCGCACCTCTCAGGAAAAAAGTAGGTGCCAAAGCCCTGGCTGTCACCTGGGAGGGGACCGTGGAGGGACCCATCACATGCCCTTGTTGCCCCCGCCGCCTCTACTTTTGTTCTCGTTCTTGGCTTCTTCCATGGGGGCGCTCTTAAAGTCAATCTTTAAGAGCTGGAAGACGTTTTGTTGGATCTCCACCAACTCATCGTTGGGAGAGGTGTAGCCCCTGAATACACGAGAAGTCTTGGGCAAAGTTCTATGACTTTTAAAACGCATCCGTGTGGTGTTTGCCTCCCTTCATGCTCCTTGTGCATGCCGGGAGCACGTAACTGGAGCAAAAGAGAGCGAAGTTGACTGCTATGAAATGAGCACCTTGGCTTCCCCTCTTGCTCCTCACAGTTGCCCTGAGCTGGTGCGGTTCTTTACTTGGGCAGCCAGACGCCCGCAGCAGCACCCGCAGCAGCAACAGGCAGTTCCGCCCGGGCTCCGCTCAGGTGTCCGGCTGGGGCTGTCAGGAGTTGCTACCGCCGGCACAGCTCCGCGCGGCTCCAGTCCCGCGTTGCCTTGGGAACGGAAAGGCAAAACCAGGAGCCGCTGAGCCTGAGCCTCCGGTGCCGCTGCTGCCGTTGCAAAGCACTGCCGCAGCTCTTCCTTTTTGCCTTTCCCTTCCCGAGGCAACGCGGGACTGGAGCCACGCGGAGCCGCGCTGGCGGTAGCAACTCCTGACTCAGGGGGCCTCCGAGGGGAGGTGAAGGAGGAGAAGAAGGGGGGAAAGGGTGGGGGGGCGATTCCCAAAAAATCTTGTGCTGACCCGGCCCGTCTGTCAAATTTTAAAAGTCAATGAGGCCCCCGAGACAAAAAGTTTGCCCACCCGTGGCCTAGGGGATGCAGGATTTGAAGTGGGGGAAAATGGCAGTTCACAGAACTCTCTCTCTCTCTCTGTGTGTGTGTGTGTGTGTGTTTCCCATATGTTTATCCTTTTGGGGAGAGATTATCTGCATAATCAATCATTATCCAAAAAAAATGTGCATTCTTTCTCTTTCATTGAAACAAAAATTTTAAAAAAGACAACCATTATATAGGCACGCTTAGACCATATAACTATTTCAGGCCAATCATTTGTAGGTTATTTTATTTAATGTTGCAGTTGCTCAATGGCAGTGTTTCTCAACCTGTGGTCTGTGGGGGACTGGGATGTCATCATAGGAAACCCACAAAAAATGTTATGATTTAAATCTTGAGTTAAGTCTTGGTGGTCCCTGGGTACGAAAGATATTTAGAGGGGGTCTATGCTGAAGAACCACTGGCTTAAGTGCTTTAATGCCAGATAACGCTGTGCTTTGATGGATACATTTTGAGCTGATTTGAAAGGGTTAAGATCAATACCTCCACCCTTTCCTGCCTCCTGTTCTCCTCCCCTCCCCTTTGCCTCTTCTGATATCTTTTGTTTTTTCTTTCTTCCCCTTCTTCCCAGCTGTGGACATGGATGGAAGACCTGCAGAAGGAGCTCTTAGAAGACGTTTGTGCTGACTCCGTAGATGCTGTTCAGGAACTCATAAAGCAGTTCCAGCAGCAGCAAACAGCTACTCTGGATGCCACTCTCAATGTCATCAAAGAAGGGGAAGATCTAATCCAGCAGCTCAGGTGAGCTCCTTGGGCACATCAGGACACACCTTGGAATTCCATGCGGAAATTAGTGCTTGCTTCTCATTATTCAGAATCATATTGCTGCTTACTTTGGCATAGCTCACTTGTTTTATTATTGCTGGAGAGCTGCCTTGATTCGCCTGGCAGAAGGGACACAGAAGTACTTGTAATCATTAAATAATTTTTAAGTGCATCATTTCACTGAAACTATAAGGGATAATTTGTGGAGATGAATAATAAGTATTCTCAGTTCACCTGGACCACTGCGTGTAATCGATGAGGAGAGCTGCAGGTGTACTAAACGGACTATGATTAAATGGTACTGCCTAAATTTGCTTGAAGTGGAAATTTGGGGAACATTATTAGATTGTTATAAATGGAGGCTTTGTGGTTTAAATACTTACTCCTGCTAAGCAGTGTCTAGAATCCACTATATAAAACATATGCCTTTAATATATCATTACCATTTTTTCACCTGAAGAGCTTTCAGTGTAGTAAGATCCCTGTGGCACCATAAAGATTTCAAGCTTTCAACTGATACCTATTATTTCCAAATGTACTGGGTTTATGTAAGTGCAATTTACAGCGTGTGCCTAAAAAGTGACTAGATGGAATATATAGGTTTCTACAAACACCTATAACCAGGTTGAGATATTGAAGTCCCAAGGTTTGTGACTTTCTATAAGTAGTCTCTGACTTAACAACCATAACAGAGTTTCTGTTGCTAAGCCCGGTGGTTAAGTGAGTTGTGTCTGATTTTACAACCTTTTTGCTACAGTTGTAAAATGAATTACACAGTTCTTAAACAAATCCAGCTTCCTCCATTCCTCCATGACTTTGCCTGCCATCTGGGAAGGTTGCAGCTGACAACCACTGTAAATATATGTTGGTTGTCAAGCACCCAAATTTTTATCACATGACTGAGGCAATGCTGTGATGGTTGTAAATGCAGGGACCAATCACAAGTTCACCTTTTTTCAGTGTCATTGTAACTTTGAAGGGATAGCAATAGCACTTAGACTTATATACCGCTTTACAGTCCTCTCTAAGTGGTTTACAGAGCCAGCACATTGCCCCCAACAATCTGGATCTTCATTTTAGCCACCTCGGAAGGATGGAAGGCTGAGTCAACCTTGAGCCATTCAGAATCGAACTCCTGGAGTGAGCAGTGGGTTAGCCTGCAGTACTGCATTCATATATATGTTTTCTTAAGTTTTCACGGGTACTTACATGTATGGTATTCAGCTTTGTTCAGGTATTTTCCCACATCATTATAGTTGTGCTTTTAAAGTTGTAGCAACGTTTCGGCAGAATCTCATCTGCCATCATCAGGCTTCTGTATTGTGTTCGTCTGTGAGTCAGACTTTCACAGCCGTTTCAGTTTTAAATTTGGGGCTAGCCTACTGCTGTGCTAGAATGGTTTTTTCTTCATCCTGATTGGTTGGGAGTCTTGGTCTGTGTTTATTGGTCTTGGAATTTGCTGTGTTCTGCTTGATTGGTGTTTCTAATATCTTCTGTCTGTTTTGTGGCTTTTTTTGTCTTGATTGGCTGGCAACATTGTGTTCCTGTATTGGAGGCTTTTAGTGCAGCTTGGCTTCGAGTAAATGGACGGCTATCATTTATTAGGAAGCTAGGTTTCATCTGGGTGCCTGGTTGGGGTGTGTTTGAGCTGGAGGTATCAGGGGGAGTCTGTTTGTGCCCAGCTGTTTGCCTGGCTTGTGGTGTGGAGATTTGTTTGTTTGTGAGTGCAGGCTTCCAAATAATTGACAGTCTGGTAGAATCATCTCTTCTATTCATGCTTTCAGGTCTTTTTTCAATCTCTATGGCTTCCCTGATAATTCTGTGGCTGGGGTTTTCTATAGAGGCTAGGGTTTTGGTGCCATTGAAGTCGATGCTATGACCTGTTGCTTTCATGTGTTGGACTAGTGAGGAAGTGTGTTCCAGCTTTTTTACTGCATTTTTGTGTTCATCCAGGCGGGTACTTATTCTTCTATTGGTCTGTCCAATGTATGTGGCAGGGCTTGATGCACAGGGGACTTCATATATGCCTTGGTTTTCCAGGTCAATTTTATCTTTGGGTCAATTTTTGGTCAATTTTATCCTAAGAAACCCCAATATATATTTGTATACAGATCTTTCAGCTTTAAACATTTACTACATTTCAGTACCATTGCATTTTTACTGAGCACTACAGTAGAAGTGTAATAGAATATATAGGATTGGAATTGTTGTTCTATTAAAAAGTTACACAGAACTCTTGATTTCTCTCCCACAGTACTGGCAATTATCAGTGAGAAAGCAGAACATAGCAAAAGGTTAAACCCTCCAGATCATACTTCTGGTCTGAATCTCTTTTCCCCACTATGATTTGGTCTGGTTTGCTTCATTTTGCTTTGCTTTGGTTTCATGAAGATGTGTTTTTGAAGGCAATGATTTTTTTTTATTAGCTCATTGTATATTGTGTTGGAATAAATGTTTCTTCCTAATTAGCTAAAATATAGTAAAAACTTGCTTTGACTTTTTTCAACATGTATTTGTGATTGCTTTTTCCCAATCTTTTCTTATTCTTTATTCCCCTCAAACAGTCTAAATCTCCCACATAATGGGATGTGTAGATAATGAAACCCAGTCACACATTGAGTAACTTATTTTTTTTTCTGAATTGTACTTCCTCAGGAACAGCATATTCCTCTGACTAACATGATGGTGTTATCATTTACAAGGAATTTGTGGAGTGCTCCTTAATAGATCTGAATAAATGGGGAGAAAAACCCTAATCCCTTGATAATGTTTTAGTTATAGTTGTATTCTACTTACAGTTGCATTAGTAGATAGGTAGGTAAGTGTTAGGTAGATAGGTAATAGATAATTAATAGATACTAGAGAACCTATGGTGATTAGTGCTACCATAGCTGGACTATGGCAATTCAGATGATCATCAGATCATAGCAAAACCTTTCCCTTTTTCTTATTCCCGAGTATTCATCTGAATTTTTGCAGATATGGTAGCACTAACTATCCCACATCATATAAAACAGAGTAAGCCATATTCCCTCCAGTACACTAAACTGGTTCTCGTGTAAAGTCAGTTGGGTGACTTTGGGCTAGTTCCTCTTTATCAGCCCTAGGAAGAAGGCAGTGGCTTCTTCCAAAATCTTGCCCAAAAAAATTACAAGGATGTGTCCAGGCAGTTGCCAGGGGTCATGACTGGCTCAAGAGTACAGGGAAAAAAAAGCACTCTTCTTAAACTGGTACCAAGAAAAAACAGGAGAAAGTGGAAGGTAGCTAATGTCAGCCCTTCCAGGTTGACTGGCAGGACACATAACTGGATGAGATTATTCTACTTTACTGTACGTCTGAAGGTACAAATCTCCCACCATCACTTTTAACTGCCTCATCAATTAGGGTCGGGGTGGGCTGTTGGGGGTTTCACAGGGGTTTGGGAGAGCCCCTAGCTAAGATTCTGTGCAGTTCGGAAACCCCGCCCAAATCCCACTCCTGACTGGCCCCGCCTACCTCACCTCACCCCTCCCAGGAGTTCCCACGCAGCCCGTTTTGGATGCAGAGAGGGCAAAAAACAGGTCTCCCAGAAGTTGGGGAAGACTGGAAATGGACCCGTTTCCAGCTTCCAGAGAGTCTCCGGAGCCTGGGGAAGGCCGTTTTTGCCCTCCAGAGGCTTGAGGAAAACCTCCTCAAAATGCCCCACCCACCCACCCCCGCTGTGGTTCAGGAGGCCGATTAGGCCACGCTCACCATGGCCACGCCCACTCAGCAACTGGGCAGAGAACCTTTGCTAAAAATTTTGAAGCCCACCCCTGATTAGGGTGGATCCTTCCTAGGAGTCTTCCTCTGATTATTAAGCTACTGGGGGCTCTACTCTCTCTTGTTTGATCCTAGGCAGCATCTCTTCCTCTCCTCCCATAAGGTCATTCTCACATAACATAGAGGTAAAGATCTGGGAGTGTTGAACTTATTAAGTTACAGAGAAAAAAATAAGCTGGGGCGGGAAAGGGATGCAGACTTAAAAGTGATTCTTCATCTAAGGTAACATGTAGGGTTCTCCAGTTTTCACCCATTTTTTAACAAAATCTTTACTAAGGAATCCCTAATGAATGAATCTTGAAAGCTTGCATAACTGATTATTTAATTTGTGGTGCAAAATAAAAAAACATTGTTTGACTATAGATCAAGAAATCCCACCTTGCCTCAATAACATACAGCTAATAGGAATACATGTTATATAAATATTTGTATGAATTCCACTACTGTTTCACACAGTATAATATTTTGCTTAAGGGGAAGGATTTTTAAGTGGACCAAATATTGGTAAGGAACCAGAATGTCATGAAATAAAACAAAAAGGAGACAGAGCCCAGGAAGGGATTTGTATGCCATTGGTATATTTTTCTTCTTTTCCTTTGCAATTTCTCAGTGCCTTTATCAACACTGGGTTTCTAACAATTTGTTTTGACTTTACCATAGAGATTCGGCGGTCTCTAACAATAAAACACCACATAATAGTTCCATCAGCCACATTGAATCTGTCCTCCAGCAGCTTGATGAAGCTCAGGTCCAGATGGAAGAGCTCTTCCATGAGAGAAAAATTAAGCTGGATATCTTTCTTCAGCTCCGGATTTTTGAACAGTACACTATTGAGGTAAGAATTGCATTGGCCATTCCAAAATGGAAGACACTCCTATGGAATGGAAACAGGTCTTACTTGATAAAACGAGTTCTTAGGAAGCAACAGATTGGTAATATTTTCAAATGTCTTGCAGCCTTTTTATCTAATTCATCAAGGATCCCTATATTCTACAGCACACTTAAGCTTTTCATGGAATATGACTATGAAAAGTAGAGGCATAGGATCTTTTTCTGTCAGAAATAATGGTACAATTTATATCGGTAAGCATAGGTGATTGCAGAATGGTGATTCATACCAGCTTTCAGAATGCAAGATAGAAAATATTACCCAGGCAAATACTATTAGCTCCAAGCAAAATGCAGATGCATACAATAATCTGCAAACAAAATGATGAGTTTTCAGTTCAATGGAGTATTGCTAGGATTAGAATTTGGATAGAGTTTTAGAACTCCATGGACTCTGCAATGATCTCTCACAGTGGGCATGATGGTTTATAGGCTGAAGTTTATTCCCTCAAGGAAATATGTTGATTGACATATTCCAAAAAAACAAACATTTTAGTCCTTGGAATCATAATTTCTGTAGGTCTAAAAGGTGAAAGTCCAGCATCTTTCTTTGTTACAACATAAATAGTTTTCATTTTGTTTCATTTTGTGTACTGTTGGAACACATGATAGCTAGAAAATTTGGAATACTGATGGAATAATGTCTGAGGAAGGCTTCACAATTCCAGTAATTCACATGACCATCAAAGGAAACCCTTCTATCAACATTAGATCATTAGATCTAAATTTATCCATCTGTAGCACTAGGTCTGCTGAGAACGTACCACCTCCAGAATCAAAGACAGCGTGTTCTGAGTACCAGCTGCTAGGAAACTGCATTGGGAAAGGGCTGTTCCCCTCCAATTCACTTCTACAAGGCATTTATTGAGACCAAATATGAATAAGCATTCTGGCATGAAGTATAATAGTTACTCTTCTATATAGAAAAATACTGAGTTCAGTTGAATTTAACTTTTAATAAAGAAATGCAAGATTGGGTTTCTGTGAATTTAGCTATTATGCTTTGTAAAGCACTGGTAGTCCATGACTTACAATCATTTGCTCAAAGTTACAAGGCACTGTTAAAAGTTGTAAATGACTGTTTTTCAGACTTGCAACTATTGCAGCATCCCCATGTGATCAAAAGTTGGATGCTTGGCAACTGGTCCATATTTAAGAATGTCCCGGGGTCATGTGATCAGCTTCTGTGACCTTCTGATAAGCAAAGTCAATGGGGAAGCCAGATTCATTTAACAACCATGTTACTAACCTGACTGCAGTGATTCACTTAACAATTGTGGCAAGGATGGTCATAAAATGGAGAAAAATTCACTAAACATGTATCTCACTTAGCAACAGAAAAGTTGGGCTCAATTGTGATTGTAAGTCAAGGACTGTGTCTATGGTTTGTGATTCCATATAACATAAATCCATTAAACTACAGCTGTTCAACAAACTTTGGTAAAGTAACAATGGTTTAGTAGACTGATTAACCTACCCAATATTGATTCACCCAATGTCAGTTGCAGGCATGAGGTAGCTATTGGTGGTTTTGTTTCTTCTGTGGCACTGTTATTCTTATTGCATATTTGATATTTTTTATAATGTTCTAAGCCCTGTAGGGAATTTTAAATTTAAAATAGGGATACAAATATTTTAAATCAATAATTTCAAAAACACTGGCATGCTTGAAAAGGCAGCTCTTTTCAATTTTTTCTAAATCAAATGCTTTTGAAAAAACAAACATTAAGCTTAAGGAAGTGTAGGCAATCTCATGGATTGTTAATTTGTTCTAATTTGGGCATATCTAACGATCTCTAACTTGAAGATTTCCTTTAAGCATTCATAATTTTCAGTCTAAAATGATTTTCTAAGTTTTCGCAGTAATGAACTTCTTTACAAACAACACATAATTAAAGCGCTTCTCAATTTCACTGTATCTTATGCGATGGTAATTTTAAAATTTTTGGAATGTAATTAGGTTTATTCTCTTCTGTGGTTACATACTCTATTTTAGATATTTTTTTCCCTGGTAACCTTAATTTTAATGATTTTGCCTGCTTATTCTGCATTGCTTTTTTTTTTTTTTTTACTTTGAAGGTGACTGCTGAATTAGATGCCTGGAATGAGGATTTGCTACGTCAAATGAATGATTTCAACACCGAGGATCTCACTTTGGCTGAACAGCGTCTGCAGAGGCATACAGAGAGGAAGATGGCTATGAATAATATGACTTTTGAGGTCATTCAGCAAGGACAAGATTTGCACCAGTACATCATGGAAGTGCAAGCTTCAGGTAAGTGGAAGACATAAATTTGTCTTCACAGAAATGTACTACAGTATGACCAGAGATGTCTATCAGGAACAACTACAAAGGAAATTAAATTTAAAAAAAAATCATTTGATTTTTCCATACTTCAATAAAAGCTTTCCTACATCCAGATAGAAATTTACTTAATCTCTCAGAATTCATAAAACCAGATAAATCCTAAAAGAAAAAAAAGAAGATACAAAAAACAAGTGGTTAAAAAAAATACTCTGATGAAAAAGGAATCAGAACCACATCAAATATTTTGCCCTTTCCATTTTGAATCCTGTTCTTCTTTGAAATCTGAAATTTTGGTGTTTTATCTACTAGAGGCAATCTCGGGGTATTAAAATTACCAAGAAAAATTACCTGAACCCATCTTTTGTAATGCCATCAATCAAAGTAATTATTTAAAAAAAACTAGTCCTGTGAGCACAGTAACAAAATACTGTAGGTGGGGCAAAAGGCATATGACTTCTATCTCTTCACATAAAGGATTTTGATCTGATTTGGCTTGAAATAGTAATAGCACTTAGACTTATATGTCACTTCACAGTGCTTTACAGCCCTCACAAAACAGCTTGCAGAGTCTGCATAATGCCCCCAACAATCTGGGTCCTCATTTTACTGACCTCAGAAGGATGGAAGGTTGAGTCAACCTTGAGCCAGTAGGGTCGAACTGCTTGCAGTCAGCAGAAATAGCCTGCAATACTGCATTCTAACCACTGCACCACCACAGGTCTCTATTTTTGTGCAAATGTTATATGTTAAATGTAATCATCTCAGTCAACTGTTTTTTGGCTCACAATTGGCATAGGGAAAAGCTCCTAAATGGTGAGGAGTATTTTTTTCATCAAGGATTTACCATAATACTTAAAACACAAGCAAATTCAGGACTAAGACGATGATCATCCTGCATATGTGGTCTTGTAAACAGCTGTATGGGAAAGAAAAACACATAAAAATGAAAGCAGTTTGTTCTTCCTGCCCAAACAAAACAATTTCTTCATTTCCAATAAGGCAGAATGGATCCTGAACTTCCTGTTTGGAGCCTCGTAATCTTCCCATTTGGAGAGACAGATTTTTGTTTTATAAATGTGAGACATAGTACACACATTTATTATAGTTAGCCTTTAGAGGATGCTGTGTGTCTTCAGGACTTTTCCAGCATTTAATATACACTTCGCAGCAGATCTTCGATGTGCTTGCAGTCATAGTTTGCAATTGCTAACACAACTGGTAAGTATTTCAAACATTAAGTGTCTTCGGGGATAGATCTTTTTAGATCACATGTGTTTAAGTTTTGTTCTTTGTATCACTGTTAAAATTTATTTTATCACATGACCAGTGTGTTAGACTTCTGCCTAGCAAGCTGGACAGATCTTATTTGTTGTATGAAACCAAAGAAGCCACTGCAAATGAACTGCAACAACTTGTTTATCAAATATGCAATAATGCTTAAATGCATGTTTTTCGATGTATGTAAAGGACTCCAAGCAACTCTCCTTTGGTTAAGGGAAGAATAGTTTCCATCTCTTTCTTCTCTCAGCGATGGCCAAATCTCATACTGAGCTGTTTGCTTTTATCTGTGAGAGAACTAGAACTACAACATCTGTTAGCTTTGGTTTTCTGCATACCTTCTTTTTATTGAATAAAAAACTTCCAACTTTTAGTTGAAGTATTAAACTCTACCTCTAAACTTAAGAAAATTGCCATCATTTTCAATCAGAAAATTGCCACACTTTCATGTTTCCCCCTTCTCTTCTGCCCAAGAGAACCCTGCCCACTTAATTTTATCACCTTTGTAATTTTAAATCTTCCAATAACAATCTTTGTCCATGTTATTCAGTATACAGTATCTTGGTTTTTCAAGGTATAGGGAGGGAAAAGGGAAAAAAATCATAATAGGAAAGTATGAAAAGAAGGTATTTCCTGCAGATGTATCTTATAAGGAGAAACATAATTGCGATTTATACCATATAGATTTTAATACTGAATTTTGAGATAAATAATATTGATCAGAAAACCAAAGGCATCAGTTTTATCAGTTCAATACCATCTATCAATCTTCTATCCTCTGCAACATGGTGATCATCATGTTTCTTACCTAATTATCAACACATATATTTAGTTTAAACTGCTTGCCACCTCTAAATACAATACTGGTCAGATTTCCAAAATTCTGCTTAATGACCATAGGATTTTTCCCTGTCTGAAATGTGATTTGTTTTATAATGAATACTAAGAACGTTAAATCATTCAATGTTATGATAGCAATATTGGTAGTTCTCATTTATTCTGACTAATTGGACCCGGAAACAGTAATTAAGTAATGCAATCATAAGTTTAAAAACCATGCAAACACAGTACTTTGTGATAGCATTTCCAGGAGTCCCAGTTGCCATCATTAAGCAAGGATCATGCAGGTTGCTAAATGAGAATTTCACATTTCTGCAACTTCCAACTTCCTGCCAGCTTTGACTTATTTGTGGGAAGCCATCAGGGAAGGTTGCAAAGCCAGATCGTGTGACTGCAGACACAGTGATAACCATAAGCACATGGTCCAGTCTTAACTATAATTTATTCAGTGTTGTTTTAGGTTGAAACAGTCACTAAAGAACTGTTCATTAAACAAGAATATTTCTTTTCAAATGGAGTTGATTGTAAACAGATTCTACAAACAATATGTCCTTGTATGTTTAGTCAAATAGCTAAAGTAAACATTTCCTTCTTCTCTGAAGAAGTAGATGACTTTAAGTATCTACTTTGAGATGCTCAAACAAATCTGAAAAGATTACTGGTTTGGAATAGCAGTAATGTACAATATTGAATTTTCTAATAGCCATAATTCAGCTCAGGCTGAATTATGGCTATTAGAAATAATTCAGGCTCAGAGTGAATGACTCTGTATGCGTGTATGGGTGTGCATTTCTTTATCTTTTCTTATTTAACATCATTGTTCCCATAAGTAAAATTGAAATACTAAAGTACTGAGATACATCGGCTACATTTTCAAATGAATAAATGAAGTAGTAAGTAGGTACAAAGAATATTGCTTGAGCATTCTAATGCCACAATTCAAATCTAATTATTAAAACAACTTGCTCAGAATGCAGTGCTTCACCAAGAACAAACTGCACAGAAGAAAAGGGTATGACTAACTATGGTGCTCTTTTCATTTGCTAAAAAGGAAGTGCTTTACTTTTGTTTACTTTTTTCTTTCCATGGTGAAAGAACAACAAACAGCATCTTAACTCAGGAGAACTAATAGGGTAGTTACAATGAACGAAAGTCTCATTTATATCTGTATGAAGAAATACTACCTTACTTTGATTCAATAGGCCATTCTTTCCAGTTGCAAATTGTTATTTCTAATGGCTGTGCCGAAGAAAGAATGAAATGGGAAGAATAATATTGGTTTATGAACATGTATCCTATGCAAACACTAACTTCAACAAAATTACAGGGAATGCTAGATTAAGAGCAGCTAAGAATATGTTTTCCAATACTCTATCAACTATATGGGTTCAATCTAAAGTAATTTACCTTCAACTAATGTCCGATATTATTATGGGTCAGCTGGACTCCCCTTTCCTTCCCAAAAAGGGAGCAATAAGCAGCTTATCTGGGGGTTTTTTTCCCCCCATCTCAGGATGTTTATTCTATTCCAGGCATTGAACTAATCTGTGAAAAGGACATCGATCTAGCAATCCAAGTGCAAGAGCTGCTGGAATTCCTTCATGAGAAACAGCACGAGTTGGAGCTGAATGCTGACCAGACGCACAAACGGCTCGAGCAGTGCCTTCAGCTTCGGCACCTGCAGGCAGAGGTTAAGCAGGTCAGGGTTTTCACCATTGTTCCGCTTCTTTGCTTATATGATCGAGGTGGCTGTTAAATGTCCGGCTCCTACCATTCAAAATCTGGTAGCCGCTGAAAATTCACATCTGCAACAGTACAGGTGGCTCAAGTGAACCATGTGACTGATGGAGAGAGAGGGGAGGGGGTGGTGAAGACCACTGATTGCTGCCACCTCATTTAGAGAAAGTCCTCTCGTGCAGCAATGCCAGTGTTACTCTCATTCCAACTGTCTCTACCCAGCCCACAGCGGCAGGTGGGGTGGCAGTGGCGGGGGGTATAAATGGTGCTGTCAGGGGCCTTCAGAACAGTCCAAGATTCTCATGTGTCTCCTTTGGAAAATTAATTGCCCATTTCTGCTCTATTTTCTCAATGTTCCATTAAAAAAAAAAAACCAACTAGACATGTTTTTCATCTCATATTGTATCATGTATTCACGTGAATAAAGTGGTGCACATTCAAAACAGACAGAATGAAAAAAAAAATCCCCAAACTATCATCATTTTCATTCCTTTTTTAAGGTATAGTAGGATATGTTGTTTTTCTGTTTTGAACGCCACTGATTTGGATCAAGAATTGATAAAAATGTTTGGGGAGGTGTTTTTATGTGTGGAGGAAGTGTTCATGTAAATGTTAAATGCTACTTGTATTCAAAGATATACAAGTCTGGAACATTTCACTACTGATAAAAGTCTGTGCAGGAAGAAATCGTAATCTTTTTTAATGGTACAGAAAATATTTATTTGATTTGCATGAAGCATAAAGCAAGGAAACACTAATGTAAAAATATCTAAGGTTTTATTCATGCATTATTGTTGACCCAAGGGACAATAATTCTACTCATTGAAAAAAAAAAACATCTTGTGAGATGAATATTTCATGTTGAGGCAAGAACATGAAATATCAATTAACAAGAAAAATGGTTGTGTATATGATTCCATTGACTGTTTAGGCCAGGAGAGTGGCGAATGTGAGGTATCAAGTTTATTGGTCTGGAATATATTCAAAATATGGAAGTAAAAGGACCTTGATTGCTTTACCATTTGCTCAATCTAAATTTAGCTGCTGCAGGTCAGCAATCTATCTGCTTTACAATTCTATTCAACCACTTTCATCAAAGTAAGAGTATGATTATACACACAAGGTCTATAAATATTGGAATACAGTGTGAGGGCTGTAAAAAACTTAGTTCCTTGCTCTTAAAAATGAGTTTCAAGTTATCACATGAAGATAGAAAGTTGGAAACTACAAGAACATCTTTATTATATTTTAAAACTTATAACAAATCCTTTATTCATCCAGAGCTCAAAATAGTCAATTAGGCTCAATATTGAAAATATTTATAGGATCGAATCTTTTTTTTTTTTTTTTTGCCTGCCATTGTTACCAGATAGTTTCAGAATCTGCCATAGCATATCATGATTTAAAAATTAACTCACTGGAAGCAAAAATAAAGATGGAATCAAAAGGAAAGAAATACTTATTCTCTCAAAAATAAATCAGCAACCACCGATATTGTTTTAGATTATGATATATGGGGATATATGATTCCTGCTAAAAAATAATGTGAACCAACGTAAGATTCCAGTGTTCAACATCATATTGAAGGAATTAATGTTTATTATATGGTTCTTATGGAAATAGGTCATTCTTCCTTGAATTTACAACTTTTAAAGGTCCCTTTTTAAATGTTCCAATTTCATTTTTACATCTATTTAGGAATGCACTTTCTCATTCTGTCTCTAACATGTTTTTATCTCTAATGTTCTTCTCATTTTTAAAGGTTATCTATGTACTAGTTAATGAATATTTTATTTTAATATTAATTTTAATTATATCACACCAATAGCCAAAAGAGCAGAGTAAGTAGCATTGGTTTAGAAGTGAACATTTAAACCTAGTTCAAGAGAGTACCTGTATAATGGTAGAACGGAATGACCTTGAGAGACAGAAGATGTTGCCTAGGATGATCAGATAAAAGGCAGAGGAAGGGGGAGCCTCCAGTTGCCTAACAGGCAGAGAAAGAAACTTAGAAAAGATCCCTCCCAATTTTAGCAGACTCTAAAAAGAAACAGTGGAAGATTTGTACTTTCAGATTTGCAAGATTCTCTTAATGGAGCCTTACAATAAAGTAGAATTAGCTCACCTGGTCTGTTTCCTTTCTGGTCTACCTGGGAAGGCTGACAACCTGTGATTCATTAATTTCTTTAAAAGTATTTATGAGCCTTCTTCATTCAGATACTTTTTAGGAAGTCTGTAGCAAGATCTTATTTGTTCAGATCCATATTTTAAAAGTCAATGGCTTATTAACTTGTGAATTATTGCAGCAATAATTCTTAGAAGCAGCTGGATTTAAATATATCATGGCCCTGTCATACTGTGGTAGGTATTGGCTAAATTTGGCTTCCTGAAGAATGAGTCATAAGTAACATAATTTAGTAAAATTGGAATCTGTATTGATTTTGGCTTGCTCTTCATTTTCAGTAGAGAGCCAAGTGTACTTTACTTTCACTTTGGAACAGTTGAGGCAACAAATGGTCTTAAATTTATTACCGAGTAACTCTTGCTCTTAGAAGCCAAGGAAAAGTAGACTGCCACCAAACAGTTCATGGTGCTAACCCTGCTTAACTTTTGCTGATGCAGTACAAAGTCTGCAGCATTCTAGAAAGCTGACATATGGTTGTACTTCAGGACAATGGAAATTCTAAATGGTTTAAATTTTAAATTTTCTAAATTTTAAAATTCCAACCACCCCCAATCTCATTTAATAAAGTTTTCTGTTTTCCTCTATGTACTCTATAAATTTCAATGCCAAGGTAGTAAATTTAAAGGTAAAAAAAGGCACTGCAAATGCTTAGAATATCAAAAGATAAATGATTGCTTTTTCACAGTTCTTTATGTTAAAGAATTGAAAGAATTGTTATGATATTGACAAAATAACAGCAAGAGTTAGAACACTTGTAATTATTTCCAGGGTCTAAATAGTTATAAGGGCTACTTTAAGTTTACTTAGTGGATTTGAGGCAGAAACATCCTTGATGTGTAGACAGCAAGATCTGGAGAAGGTGAGGTTTTGTCTCCCTTGGGGAAGATATAAAACATGACAGCTCTTGAGATCCAGGTGGGCCAAAATCTCTCTCTTGTTAAGGTTGAGGAGGAGCCGGTTCCTCCCCACCCAGATCTTCACAGCCTGCAGTCTGGCTGGAGGAGGAGAAAGAAGGAAGAAGAGGGTGACAAGGAAGTTGTTCTCGGGGAGGTAGCAGATGAGCCACTGCCAGGCTCCAGGGCAAGCTCTGGGAGACACATGCTTGGCTTCTGGCAGTTCAGAGAGGCGAGGTAGGGCGTTGAGTTGTCCCCACATCCAGTTGGCCAGAGTGATTTGTTCCATGCTGACCTGTCCATGCCCACTTGGCTGCATTGAGTCATCTGCGCCAAGTTATCTCCTCCAACCTTTTCATGCCCATTTCTCTGTGCCCATCCGGCCATGCACAGCCAGTCATACTGACCCAGCCACACTCACCTGGCCGTGCTCACCCATCCATGCCAAACTGGCTGCTGTGAGTCCTCTTATTCCACCAGACTTATTTGGTCTGGCCCAGGAACATAATATAGCCAAAGGGAGTTTGTGGTTGTTTCTGAAGTCTTAGAACCTGGTTCAACTGAGGCTGTAGTTGCTGCTTGAAAGAGCAGCAGGCCTTGGATGGAATATGTTTGGGCAGATTCCTGTTGCTTGTAGATCCCAGAGGAAACCTCCCCCACACCTTTTAGAGTAGTTCTGGGATATGAAGTGGCAGAAAAGATACTTAGATGTAAAATGAAAAGTTGTCTGAGGGTGGGACTTTTGTTAGTCATTACTGGGTAGCAATAATAGTTAAATCATTAAATGTAACTATTAATTAATTTCCACGTTCTTACTTCATCAACAGATGGATTTTGGATGAATATCAAATAACAGTTGAACTGTTTTTTTGGTGAAACAATAAATTTTTACAGACATGAAAACAATAAAGAAAAAGAAAGTTGATGGTATCTTGTTTCTAGCCATGTCAAATATTTCAAGGAGCTGCATGCAAATGTATCTGGAAAATGGAAGTATTTTTCAGGAAAAAAGTTGCATGTAACAAACCACATAACATTGGCACGTCTGGTGCCTTTATCTCTTTTAGATAACATGCAATTTTTAGGAGCTTATTAGGTAAATTTAACTAGTTGCACATCATATACCTCATATATTTCTATTTATTTTTTTTGATCCAATGTACTCAGTAAAATTGTGTAATGTACATATTATAGATATTTAGTGAAGGACTATTTGTACTTTATTTACAGTATTTCATATATGGGTTTTGTTTCTTTGTAACACAAGGCACTAAATTATTTTGTCTCATTGGATTAGATACAGAGTAATCAAATCAAACCAAATGTTTATGGTAGTCATAGACTCGCACAGAGATCCAGAGTAAGTTAGTTATACTTAGTCTACATCTAACCAATCCCTTTTATTTAATTATAATTAATTTTTCAAACTAAATCTAATTAGAACTAAAATGCATCATCTGATGCATGTTATCTCTCGGGGCAAGGTCAAATGGTGAAAAAGGCCTTAAAGCCTGAATCTTAAAGAACAAAATTTCTCCAAACCAGAAAGTCAACTTTGTTATACACCACATCTCCAGTTTGTCTGGATATTGTCTCACCTTCCCCATCTACCCCAAAACTGGTTCCAGATACAGATTCAATAATTCTTAGTAAAGTAGATCAGTATGACATCTGGATGCTGGGGACACGACAATCCACGCTGCAACCCACCTCAGCTATTTCATGAAGTAAAAAAGTTGTTATCTCAAAATGTCTGTTTTTCCCTGCTAGGTCCTTGGCTGGATCCGTAACGGAGAATCAATGCTCAATGCCAGTCTTGTCAATGCAAGTTCCTTGTCGGAGGCTGAGCAACTCCAGAGAGAGCATGAGCAGTTTCAGCTGGCCATAGAGGTAATGTGTACTGTGCACATTGGCTTTTCTTATGCAAACTGCAAAGATAATCTAAATGGTGTTCAGAGAGTAAGAGAAGAAATAATTTTCAATTAACAGTTAACAGCAATAGCACTTAGACGTATATACCACTTCACAGAGCTTTATAGCCATCTCTAAGCAGTTTACAGAGTCAGCATATTGCCCCCAACAATCTGGGTCTTCATTTTGCCCACCTTGGAAGGATGGAAGGCTGAGTCAACCCTGAGCTTGGTGAGATTTGAACTGCCAAATTGCAGGCAGGCGGCAGGCAGCAGAAGTATCCTGCAGTACTGCATTCTAACCACTGCACCACTGCAGCTCAAACTTTCCTATCAACTAAAATTAGCCTGTATGTGTGTATGGCTGGTAGCTCTCTTTTAGCAAGTGCAGTTGGAACCAGCAATTAAGTCATTAAGCAAAGCAATTGCGAAATGAAACCACAACTGTGCTTATGATTTTTCTTTGGCTTTGCTTTGCTTTGCAGACCTACGAAGGTCATAAACATGAGAATTGGTCACAAAGTTAATTTTTCATCCACACGGTAACTGCAGATGGTTGCTGTATGAGGCAGTTGCTGTTTTAAGCACATAAAGTTTTGAAGTAGTAATAGTTTACCCCCTGCTAATCTTCCTGCCCCAGATAAAATAATAAATAAATACATATTTTATTGATTGATTTGATTCTCCACTCAAGATGTGTAATCTGATGCAGTCAAGACAAACATGGTTTCTGTATAAAAATGCATATGCATATTGTTCACCAAATAGCAAAGGTTATAGTAGTCCATATACAAATTAATATCAGAAAAATCTATCTCTAGGGAGGTAAATAAAAGGAAATGATTGCTTTTGATTGCAATTTCCTTCATTGTATTGCAATAGTATCTATTTTTCTGGGGATCCTCAGTATATCTAAGACCCAATGTTTATTGTATCATTTAAATGAGGGGACTAGTTTGATTTATGGTATTTTACGATATTGTATTAGGGAAAAAATAGCTTTTCTGGAAACAGCTGCAATTCGTTTATTTCTTATCTATCTCATTCCACCTTCAAGAAGCTTAGGGGACTATGGATAGCAGACTTTTTTTAAATCTCCAAAATAATCAGAGGAGATAGGTCAGACAGGAATTGGGCCAACTAAGAGGATGACTTCAGTTCTAATTTGTTAAGCCACTGAGGATACACAATATGTGTTAGATGAGCAGATGAGTTACTGTATCACAAAGTTAGCGTGTCTATATATTCTAGGAATAACAGCTGGGATTTGCATCACATTTTACTTCCTATAAATATTATTTTCCCCGAGTGTTGGCTTAAGGATTAAATTGTGAATAATTAGGGATTGCTTAGGGATTAATTTTGTTATAGGAAATTCACAATTGCTTTTAGGGTCACTTGTGAAAATTGCCTAAGTAGAATAACAGAAAATGGTCACTATACTCTGTCTCTTGATTCAGAATCAGAATTTTCCTGGTATTTGACTATTTTAGGTATTTCCAGAAATCCATCTACCCAATATTTTAATAAGTAGTCGTGTGTGTGTATGCGTGTGTGTGTGTTTTACAAATGTTGGCATGCTGGCAAGCTCTGAAAAGAAGGGAAGGGTTTATCCATCCATTGAGGAAATTCTTTATCATTCAGAACATCTTGGCAGCATTAATAAAGCACTTCTTTGGAACAAGATATGTATTTCCTATTTGTATAGCTTGCTATATTTCAGAGATGCTTAATCTTGATAGCAACCAAGAGCCCCTCCTCCCCAACAAAATGCAGTTATTCATGCTGCCAAGAGTAGAAGGCTAGCAGTTTAAATATTAAAGATCAGGTGTTTGATTTTGCAGCATGATACTTACCTACAAAGTAAAGAAATTCTAGCTGATATATTGAACATTTCCTTTGCAAATCCTTTAATCTTTCCCTCCTAAACCCTTCTGTTTAACTGGGTTGCAAATAAAACCAACTGAGGGTCTTTAAGCATTTTTTTTTAATCGCCAGCAATTATTGCAGAGATAGGACTGCTTTCCATGTGTAAGCTTTACATAAGCTATGAAATTGCTTCTCAAATACAGAGGTTCCATTGTTCGAGATTATCATGTTGTAGTTAAAAAAATGTGCTTAGAATAGATTTTTTGTGGTTGTTGTTAGTTACAAAGTCATGTCCAACTCATTGAATAGAATACACATACTAAAATCTGTTTTTAAAATGAATATGGGTTTTCATATCTTAGGCTAATAATGATGCGAATAAAAAATATCTAAAGAATTGTTCAGCAAACACGCCAGTTAAATGTCAGCATTCTTTTTACTTAAATGCCATTTGGGCTGTTTTACCCAAAATTGGGATATAAACCTAGAATTATCAGTAATATCAGTAAATGCCATTGTATGATTATGCAGAATGCTTACTGTTTCAGAATGCTCATTCTAAAAAGTGTTTCATTCTCTCATTTTTTCATGCTCACACCTCACCTCTTTATACCATTCACTTGGCACATCTGTACAACTCTCTCTTTCCTCCCCACATACACAGTCCCTCTTTCATGCCACTTCCTTGCAGAAGACGCACCAGAGTGCCCTCCAGGTGCAGCAGAAGGCAGAGGTGTTACTGCAGGCCGGCCATTACGATGCTGATGCCATCCGGGAATGTGCGGAAAAAGTGGCCTTACATTGGCAGCAGCTCATGCTAAAGATGGAGGACCGGCTGAAACTGGTTAATGCCTCTGTTGCTTTCTATAAAACTTCAGAGCAGGTGAGAGGAACAAAGGCCTCCTTTCGCCTCAATACCAATGGCATTCAGTTTGTTTACAGTTTCTCCGCTACTATATGAAATGACCAAGGCATAAAAACATAATTGCTACCATTTAGAATTGCTACCGATTATTCAGTAACATGGAGTGATCGGCCGTAGTGAACGAATTGCACATAGTGTTATGGTCTTTGCTTTTCTAGGCATCTGTAAACAATGGTGCTCATTGAAGTTTATATTTGGTAACCCTAATGAGCACAAAGGACTTATCTATATTACGTCAGCGTAATTAAAAGATCACCTATTGGGAACATGATGAATGTGGCAAAATTATTTTAAAGCACTCCCAAGGAATGAGCTTGATATTTCATTTTTCTTATAGTTAAAATTTAAACCTTTGGTAGATCAAATGACACTATTTTTGTAACATGTATAAAATATCCTGTTCAATTGCTCGACATAGAAAATCCCTCTTAATAGTTACAAAATACCAATATACAATACAATACAATATATAAGAAATACAGAATAAATTGACAAATACGTCCACGTATGTATATACACATATACACAGTCTTGTTAATAAGACATTTTTGAATAGTTTGTGTTCCTACCTAGTTTTTCTCAGTCTAGACTCTTCTGGTTTGCTTGGTATTACAACTTCCATTACTCCTTGTCAATGGCCATAGTGGGTGGGGATGATGCCATCTAATATATTTGTAGAGGTTCAAATGGGAGAAAGGCTGCTTCACCTCAACTTTCTGTATGATGAATTTCCTGTAACATCTGTGAATCATGCCTATATTTTTGGTCAGCTGATAGGTTCATGCTTTTAATGGTAAATTGTTTCTGCTTTTAAAGATAACTTTGATAACTAAACAATTGTATTCTGGCTTATGCCCAAGGTTTGCAGTGTGCTGGAGAGTTTGGAGCAAGAATATCGAAGAGACGAAGACTGGTGTGGAGGTCGGGATAAGCTGGGACCATCCTCTGAGATAGATCATGTTATCCCCTTAATCAGCAAACATCTGGAACAGAAGGAAGCCTTCCTCAAGGTCCAGTCTATTTTCCTTGCTTTTAAGCAACTGTTTTTTTCCCCCATTTGCTCTTACTGCAGGAGTAAGTTAGGTGCTAACTTGGATGGAAATCTGTCTATAGGAACATAAATTATGTTCTATCTCTGATCGACTGTGTTTTGTAGGAGAGAGGTATCTTTCATCTTATTTTATAATAAGAGCCATCAAAGGAGAACAACGTGTGCATGCATTCCCAATGTATGTTCTTCTCCAGAATGATTTCATGCCTGCATAGCCTGAACCATGATTGGCCATGAAATAGAGAATTCTGGAGGTTTCTTCATGCTTAGAATCACCTAATAAAACAAACTTCTTCAGTAACATTATCCATTTCAAAGACTGCTTGCCTTAACCTCTCATTCTTTTAGTTCTGTAAAACTAAAACAAAATTGGCTTGCATTTTTTTCTGTTCTGAAAAGGAATAGATGATCTCACACAAAATTGCTGCTGTCATGTTACCTCATATGAATCTTCCACTAGCCTAAATAGAATAGTTATGCATTGACTTTTGGTGTATCATTAGAGCTGATTCTAAGATAATAACATTTCTGCAAAAACAGAAGTCTAATAAATCTGTGTCCCCTGCGACATTTTTTTTAAAGGATAATAGCCAGTATGAAAACATGAAGGAAGGCAACTTTGGGCAAATATCCACAAGTTGCTTCTTCTCTTCTTTTTTTGGCGGGGGAAGGAGAGGTAACAATGAGATGTTCCATAATCTTTGATAAACGTTAAGCTAAGATGGCAATTATCTTGAAAGTAAGATCAAGCTACAGAGCGGAAGAGCAATTGAAACCTCTTGAGTTTTTTCTTCGTCTCCTTTTTAAAGATGTATAGTACTTATGTTGAGAGGTTAAAGAATTTAAATCAGATCCTTTTCTTTTGTTGTTGAGGTGTCCTTCTCTCCAAATTTTCATTTTCCCAGTTCAGAGTACCTCCAGCTACAGTAGTTGCTCAGTGGCTTGTGCATTGTACATTGTACAGATCCTTGTACAATAGGAAGTCAGAGCTGGGAAAGACCTTTGCCTTTGATTTGCCTTAAAATGTCACTATTGGTCTAACTAGGTCTTAAGCTATATGTACTCTTGATGGAGGAAATGACTGGCTTTCCTTCCTAATGCCACACAATGCTCATAAGTATGTTTTGAAAGAACTCATGGCTCTTTTTTTTAAAGTAACAACATACAAATGAGACAATTGTATAACTTTGAAGGACTAACTTCCTGAAGGAATATATTGGCAGCTTCTAGAGTTAAAGCAAGATTAACATCCTACTTGGGACATCCTGCTTGGGACATTAGTGTTACTTTTCTTGGAAATGGGTCAATGTTTCTATGTAATGTTTTCCCTCATATCATCCCCCAAATGTTGGTTGTGTCTGACTGCAGTCTGAAGATCTCTCATGTTTTCTCATGCACATCAACATTCTTCAGAGGTCAAAAGAGAAAATAAAGCTCAAGTCACAGTTCATAAGGTTCCTTAATGTTTTATTCTTCCCATTTGCTTGTCAAAATTGTAACTGTCATGCTGGGTCTTGGGGGTGTTATTTGTTGCCCACAGGCCTGCACACTAGCACGAAGGAATGCAGAAGTGTTTCTCAAGTACATTCATCGAAACAACGTCAGCATGCCAGGAGTAGTGAGCCATACCAGGGGCCCTGAACAGCAAGTGAAAGGTCAGTGAGCCTCACATTAAGGGAATCATATCTTAGATTTTAGTAATATTGTATACCATGCACTCACTGCTTCTGTTTATACTCTTCTCAGGAAAGGATGGATTACATAAGAGCAGAAATGCATGCACTTACCATCTTTCTAGACCAAACCGAATATGATCAGATATCCCAAGGAGTTGCAAAATATTTTGGTCACATCTCAGAAATCGAGGAAATGGTTCTGTTGTATAGATTAGGAATAATCTAACTAATCAATCTAATCAATACCTCCTACCTGATTATTACATATGGAGGTACTTAAAATATATGAATGTCTGCAATTCATTCTGTTACACTAACCTTCAGGACTAAGTCTGTAATCCTTAAAAAGATTTGCAAACCTAATATTCCCTTCTTTACAAGTGTTCTAGGTATAAAGGCTTTATTAGCTATAAACCTTAGGGATACCCCAAAAGTTGTCTTCAGAACATGGTTTATCATTTCAAAAAGTTTCCACATGCATCACTGTAGGGTTTCTAAACCCTAAAGTAAAAATGCAAAAAAAGAGATATTCTTCATGATGGGCAGCCATCATGTTTCTATTTTGAAATAAAGACTCTTCCTGAAATATATTTTTCTGTTGCACAATGGTATTGAGCTACACTGGCACTACACTTAAGTAACATGTGTTACAAGCTTTAATATATGGATGCATTGGTCATTCATGATCATGTGCTGAAAAAATCTTTGAATTTAAACCTTCCATTGCCTGATGACATTTGAACTGATGATGATGATGACCATAATGATCTAATATAGTTAAAGAAATACGATTGTTTCTAGTGGAAATTTAGATAATTATAATATCATGAGATGTATTTTTAGACTGTTATTTCAACAGGTACCTGCATAGCAATATCCTCAGAGAAATATGATTTAATAGAACTGCTAAATTTAATCAAGAATGGTAGAAACATTTGAAGAATAGGTACACTAAAAAGACATGGAGTGTATTTATGTTACCGAGAGTAGCTGGGTGTCTAAACTCTTAATGTCTACATAGCTTAAGGTTTGTTTGGTCTCTCTCCCTCCCTCTCTCTCTCTCTCTCTCTCTCTCTCTCTCTCTGTGTGTGTGTGTGTGTGTGTGTATGTATGTGTGTGTGTGTTTAATTTGTTTCTGAGTTTTGAAAAGCACAGACTGAAGTGTTCTTCACTAGTGAAAGTATTCTGCTTTTACAAGAGTTTTGAGCTCACTGACGTTCACAAAAATGTACTAAGCTGTTTGTGTTAATGGTTGTCCTTGCTTTGCTTTGCTTTTTTTTTTAAAAAAAAAAAAGGTCTGAACTGAAGTGTTTAACTCTAGGGAACTTACATTCTTAGGACAAAGTACAAGGGGGAACTCAGTAATCACTTTCTTCTGGCTGTGCTTACCAAACCAGCTAAGCAAACAGCTCTTCTCCTTTTCCTTCCATAGCCATTCTGAGTGAGCTGCTGCAGAGGGAAAATCGTGTTCTTCACTTCTGGACTTTGAAGAAAAGGCGACTGGATCAGTGTCAGCAATATGTAGTCTTTGAGCGCAGTGCAAAGCAGGTAACTTGACAAAATGCTGCACTTCTCTTCATTATTTGGGGACCACACTGGTGAATGTGAGGCAATTTAATAGCACTACCACTAGCACTTAGACTTCTGGTATATACCACTTCACAGTGCTTTACAGCCCTCTCTAAATAGTTTATAGAGTCAGTCTGACTCCTCATTTTACTGACCTCAGAAGGATGGAAGGCTGAGTCAACCTTGAGCCTGGTGAGAATCAAACTGCCGAACTGCTGGCAGCTGGCATCAGCAGAAGTAGCCTGCAATACTGCATTCTAACCACTGCACCACCACGGCTCTTAATAGATTGCCTTTGGAGAGAATTTATCTGTGATGCTTACTTTTTGTATTTAAGTCCTATGTCCAGTCCTTGCTAACTGTAATCACTGGAAAAGTTCAAGACAGAAAGAAACTAAATCCAATTGGTCATTAGTTCAATTAAGTATTAAGGCTAAAAGATTTTGAACCAAAAACCATCCTTTTCATTTAATATTCTACATTCCATGGGAGAACCTGATACCTTTGCACATTTTATAGCTGAAGCTTTGTTAGCTTCATCACATGAAGGTTTTTTTTAAAAAAATATATGGAATAATGCAGTAAGAAAACTGGCATAACCTTTCCTACTGCACACATAACCCTTTGATCTTTGATTTGCAGCTTGAAAACATTACAATATATTGGCATAGAAAAGAAATTTCACAAAATGATCCAGAAAAGCATATGTCTTAGTATACACTCAGTCCTTGTTAATTGCACAGTTCTCTCCTGTACTTAGTGCTCATACAGGCTAGCAGACAGCCAGCATAGACTGCATAACACAATGGTTATATCAGAAATACATTCTGTTTAAGTTTGCAGAATTCTGTTTTGACTTTATTTGTTAAATTTATTTGCCTCCTATTCCACTGCTGGGCTACTCCAGGTGGCTTACAACAACAACAGGAAGAAATGAAAAGAAGTGAAAGAATTCAAGGCAATAAATAATCACTCCATACTGTAATATAGCACAGTCTGCATTCTATAAAAAGCTGTATATGGAGCCTTTCATAGTCTTCCATTTGGAAGTGAGCCACCAAAGACTGCAATAGCAGTTCCTGGAAGCAGTAGAACTAGTCTCTTATTCTGGAGCCTCCTTTTCCAGGGGTGTCACTCACATCATCACGGTGGCATCATGTGACTTATCGGGACTTTTTCCCCCTTCGCTAAACCGGGTGGGGGCATAGCCAGCGTGTGACGCATCTGGCCCATGGGCCAGGAGTTTGACAGCCCTGCTTTATTCTATCTATGCTGCCTGTATAAAATGTGCCTCCCTTTTGACTTGGAGGGATGGTCTTTGCATTCTTCTTGGGAGCAATAATTTTTCATGGAAAGAAATCTTGTATTTCGAAGGGTTCGAGTGACAGTTTGAGCTTTACCGTAAGGAGAGTTCCCTCTCATTAGGGCAATTCATGATTCAAGAAGAGGGTCCAGATGAAAGGAAGTCCACTGGGGATGAAAATGGCAACTCACTCCAGTATTGTGGCAGGAGAACCAAATGAACCTCCATACCTAGGACATAATAATGGAAAAGGGTCCTCAGTGATTTACTGGGGAAAGTGTGCAGTGAGTTATTGAGGAAAAACAAAAGGCAAGTAATGAATAGCATTGATGGACACTTCAGGGACTTTTTCCTGCTTTCCGTATAAAACCTTTAGGAGGAATCTGTGTTTTGGTGGAAGGGAGAATTTTACTGCAAGGTTGCTCTCCATGGTCCTAAAAGAAAACCAAAATCCTTTTTGTCATCTATTGTACTGGCCGTGGTGCTGAAATTATTTTTCTACTATCAGCTCTTTAACATTAATTGCCTGAGCTATTATCTAGAGCAGATAATGGCATCCGATATAGAGCACAATACATTTTCTTACTTTTTTAATTTAATGTGGATGTTGCTCCTTAACTGTGCTAGTATTTTCAGATATTTTGAACATTAGGAACAGAGAAATATAATACTCAGTTCAGGATACATGGCTGCATAATAAAATGTATTAATCTTATAGTGTCATAAGGTTCTGGTTTTTTATGTATTTTTGCTCCACATGTAGGCTTTGGATTGGATTCAGGAAACTGGAGAATATTATCTCTCTACTCACAGTTCCACTGGAGAATCAGCAGATGAAACACACGAGCTTTTGAAAGAATATGGAGAATTCAAAGTACCTGCCAAGGTAAACTGTGTTTATAATTTATAAACTATATGAAGTTTTATAATTAAGAATTCAATAAATATATGATTGTGGAAGGCACTGCTGAGACAGCTATCCAACGTGGGGGAGGTGGGATTGCTTGAGCAGCATAATAAATCATACCATGAATTTGTACGTATGAGAAGAAGAGTTTAATGCCCTTTTTACTGTTTATGACAATTCAAATCTTATGTAAGTTTAAGGAGGGTGAGATATTCATTTATAAGTGAAATAACTCGTGGAATTAGTTTGATTTATATTATCTGATAGGAAATCCAGTTTAATGTAATGGTTAAGATGTCAACTTAGAAGCCAGGAGACAATGAGTTCTAGTGCTGCCTTTGACAAGAATTCAGCTGGAAGGAGGCAATGGCAAACCTTGCTAAGAAAACTGTAGGGATTTGTCCAGATTGTCTCTGAGAACCAGATACAATTAAACAGAAGGAAAAAAATCTGAAGATTATACTATTATATTATTATTATTATACTATTAATAAATATAAATATTTATAGTTCTTAGAATTCAGACACAATTCACATTATTTTAGACAACTGGACTATTAAACTAGTGAAGTTCTTAATGGTATGCTTTTAATATCGAAACATCATACTGCAATTCTTTTTAGTTATAAGATGATATAGGGGAGCGAACAGTTCGTTTGTATGTATGTTTATTTGTTTTAGGAAAATAATTTTAAGGTTCCTTAAGACAAATGATATTTAAATGTGGTGTAGTTAATGTGTTGGACTACAGATGTAGGTTCAAGTCCATCCTTAGCCATAGACGTTTGGCCTGTCTTTAGACTAGTCATACTCTCTTATCCCAGCCTATTTCAGTGTTGTTGTAATGGGAATAAAATTCTCACCTTGAGTACTAAGAGAAGAGGTGGAATATAAGTATGAACAAATAAACAAATGATTAGTAGAAGTAATTTTTATAATACTTTATAGCAATATATCATTAGTCCTCACTTAACAATCATTCTTTTAATGATTGTTTGATGTTATGATGGACCCACTCCCAAAAGGTACAAAACCCATGGTCACATGATCTCATTTTGGGTGCTTGGCAACTGGCTCTCATTAATGGCTGTTTGCGATTTTCAGCATTTTTTGCTGGCTTCTGGCATTGACTTCTTGTTTCTGGCAAAAGCACCCATTGGGTCTGTTTGGATTTGTTTTACAAGCATGGTGCTTGCTTAACCACCACAGCAGAAAAGGATGTAAAATCAGATGTGGACACATGATCTGCTGAGCGACCACCATGATTTATGATCATAATTCTAGACTCAGTTATGGTTGCAAGCCGAGAACTACTTGTATGTAACTGCTTTAAGACAGAATCTCTTTTTTACATTCCAACTTTGGCTGTTTTTGCAATCATGCTTGAGTTTCCCAACCAGCTTTGTTGCTCCCATAGATAGTTTATTAGAGATGTGCTAAAAGAGAGTGATTGGCCTAAAAGTCATATGATGAATTTCCATGGCTGCAATGTTAATTTGAGGCTGCATTCCCCCAGTCTTTATCCAATATCTTGGAGGGTGCACTAAACTTGTTTTTATTTCCATTAAAAGTAATTTAATCCTAATGTTATTTTGGGAAAGTTTTTCATGTTAGTTATTTATTTTGTATGTTGCCTGTTGCCATGTAAGGACAAGTCTGCTTATTTGTCAATTTCCAGGCATGATTTCCCATTCAGCAGTGTTTAATAGAAATAAGTGAAAGCATAAGAAACTGTTCAGAGCCATTATTTATCTTTATCTTATTTTTAAAAGATTATCTCAGAATCAGACGGCTCAGTTATATAGAGGGTATTCCAGTGGGTGGGCACAGATATGAGTGGAAAAGAATTATTTTGGAAAAGAATTTTTTTAACTACTATGTAGCTGGCATTACTGTATCATATATTCAGTAAGAGCTATATGCTAATTTAAAGTCTTTCCAGTGGCACAAGATGAAACATTTGGGTTGGGTTTTTTTTTTGCCATCTCACCCTTCTTTCCTGGAAAGCATTTTTGAGGATTGGAAAGACCTTTTGGAACAGCCAGTAAGTGATATAGGCAGAGCAATTAGACAAAACTCATGTGCCTCTCCTTATGTGGGTTCTGTTAATGCCAACAAATACTGTGAAATGAAACCCACCAGAGCTATTTTATTCTTACTTACTTGCCCTGATGTCTGACACAGAACACACAGATTTAAAAACCTTTTGATGGCAAAAGCCGCATCCCACCTACACTCTGTCTCCCAAGATTTTAAGGACATTTTCACATTAGCAGCATTTGTGAAAAATACAAGGCCCAGATGGTTACTTTGTGAATTAAAACGGAACAGAATGTCCGTGAAAGATGTGATAACCAAGAACAACTCTTTTTCAAACAGCAAACCAGGGAGAAAGTGAAGCTTCTCATTCAGCTGGCCGATAGCTTCGTGGAGAAAGGACACACACATGCCACAGAAATTAGGAAATGGGTTACTACAGTTGACAAGTGCTATCGGGATTTTTCACTGAGAATGGGGAAGTACCGCTACACTTTGGAAAAAGCTCTTGGGATCAATACAGAGGTACTGTAAGTTGCATGTTTTTCTGACATATCTTTGTTAAGGAAGACGCCTGGATTTGGGATATATGACATTCTTTCCCATCCACCCTGTCCTGCTTTGCTTTCGTGCAGCATGGAGATTTATTTATTTATTTATTTATTTGATTTGCCAATTGTTTACAAGATAATAAGTATAAATGTATACATAGTTGTGAATACATGAAATGGTTACATATAAGAAAAATAAAAGAATAAGAGAAACAATAGGACAGGGACGGTAGGCACGTTGGTGCGCTTATGCACGCCCTAAATAGATTTGGAAAGACAACATTTAGCTCCACTGCAAGAATAGAGAGGTAGAATAGATAGTATGAAGGTGATTTGGTTGATAGTTACAATGCTCCCATAGATAAAAACCATCTGATGACCATGTGGGAAGTGTTGCGACCTTCAGAAGTTTGTTTAAGGCCTTTTCAGTCTAAGCTTCCAGCTGCAGATAACATGCTTGACTTGATTCCCAGGGAATGAAAGGGTTAAACTGCCACAGGGTGAAATTCAGCCGTTCTGTGCCCAACAAGCAATAATCCCATAAATATATAAGCTTTAAGGGAGGGGGAAAAATGACTGAAAAAAGTTTTTCTCCCAAAGAAAGCTTTGAAGAATCTTTGTGGTTTCACCATGAAAATTAACTTCTAGACTAATTGAAACAGTTTGTGTGTGTGTGTATGATTCTTGTTTCCAGAAGCCTCCCCCACCTTGCTAGATCTTCATTTGGTCCCCCCAAATTTGCTTCTGAGCATGAAGGGAGGAAATAGCTGGCAGAGGAATGTGGGATAGAAAGCTGTTGTGGAAATTGTAAAAAAAAGAAGGGAATTTAGTGTTTTTAACTGAGATCAGGCCACTGAATTGAGAATGACTAAGTCTATGCTTTGAATCTCATTTTAACAAACATAGGTAGGATATGCTTGTTTCTACCATCGAGAAGATCAAATTGCATCTCTTAGGACCAATATTTTGGAAGACAAAAAAAAAAAAAAAACACGTCCCCACCCCACTCCCCCATCAGTGACCTTATGTCTTTAAGAAAAGAGGAAAGATTATTTTCATCACTTCAATTGTCTATAAGAAGACCCACACAGTGGGAGGAAAAAGCTTCCCCAAATTCTTTCAGCATCTGTGACTTGTCAGATATGCCTTTAACTAGTTATTCATAAATATATCAGTGCATTTGGCCTTTTTGCACTGTGAAATATTTCCTTCCAGTTTTCCTTCCATCTCTTTCACTTTGTGGGTACAGTTTTGCATTTATTTATTTATTCACAAAGCATAACAATTTATTAAATCTTTGTGTCACTGCATTTTTCAGGATAATAAAGACCTGGAGTTGGACATCATTCCAGCAAGTCTGTCTGATCGTGAAGTAAGGCTACGTGATGCCAGCCATGAAGCCAATGAAGAAAAGAGAAAGTCAGCCAGAAAAAAAGAGTAAGTGGTGAGAATCAGGTGCCTCAGTAATATATGAGTTCGCAAAATGCGTCCGCTTCTTCTCAGCATATCAACAAGCTCACCCAGATGTGAGGCAGCTAGAATATCATGTTCTGTACATTTGTACTGCATGTTATTCTGGCAAATGGCCAGAACAGAGATAGAAGAAGAATAACATGTAATCACATGGATACAGAAAGTCTGGGATAAATCCAATCCAGATGATGATGATTATGTTGTTGTTATAGTGATGCTTGAGGTTGTTATGCATTTCAGAAAAGGGCACATCTATTTTGTTTGGATAATGACATGTTACTCGGATATTTTGTTGCAGATGTGTTTTAAACAATAAAATATTTACAAGCGTGTAGCAATTGCTATTGTGCTTGTTACTGAGGAAATCTCAGTATTCTAAGGGATTATGCATTGGGAACTAGCCAGTAAATTGTTTCTTGTTCAGTTTGATCTTCAATTTCCCCATGATAAGTAGGAGTATCATTCCATGCTTTATTATAGCCTGTATTCATTTAATGGTTCAAAAAATAGTGATGCTATTGGGCAAGGAAGCAAAAAAGGGCATTATATCAAAATGTAGTGTGACAGAATATTATGCTAGAAATTGTATTCTCTTTTGTTCTTTATATGTTCATTGGTCAGGAACTAATTCCCCCACCCCCCAGTTTATCAAGTTAAAAGCACAAATTGTATTACTTTGGTGAGATTAACAACAATGGCATTTCTTCTGGATTCCAGAAATTTTAGTCTCTAAAATGTTAATTATTATGTAAATTACATAGTAATGTCAAGATAACTATATTGCACAACAGATTCAAATGTATTCATACTCCAATATGTTCTAAACAGAGCGCTGGAACATTCAAAGAAAATAGTAATCTATTAAAGTCTGAGAACTCTCAGTAAGAGAAAAAAAATATTAGTGCAATTACTGCAGAAATATTTAGCATCCATCATTCCAGACACACAGATAACATATATATCTTCATCGTCTCTTGTGTTTTATTCATATATTTATATATTATACTCCAGCTTATCTTTTCTATGGAAGGCTTAAGGCAGTGTTTATAATTTTTCTTTCAGAAATGTTATCAGCATAACTATGAGACAGGCAAAATGGAAATATTGTGTTGTGTCTGTGTGCTTGTTCTATATACAGTATTTACATAAAATCATTTCTACTTGTAGGTTCATCATGGCTGAATTGCTTCAGACCGAGAAGGCCTACGTTAGGGACCTGCATGAATGTTTAGAGGTACGGTGCCTTGCAAGAATAAATACAATGTTTTATATAAAATTCATACGGTGTAACAATTTGTTGTATACAGTATACCAATGATTTGAAAAATAATAATGATTTTTATTTCAGTGGTAGCGTACAGATTGGTGGCCATTATAGCAAATGTGACTTAAGTGAAAAAGGGGAAAGCCTAGTTCATTCCTTCTGCTTTATGGTGGCAAATTGGTAGTTTTTGCTGCCAACACCTATTTTTGAAAGGGCACCTCCCCTGACATCCACCCTATCATGATGTGTGTGTGTGTGTGTGTGTGTGTGTGTGTGTGTGTGTGTGTGCGTGTGAAAGAAATATGGCTGTCACAGCCTGTACTGAACAATTGAAATATCAAAATGTGACATGTCCATATTGCAACTTTCTGATCATATAATTCCAGATAGGCAGATTTTGTTCTTACAAAACAAATGTGATGCGAGTTAACTGAAAACAGGAAGTGATACATGTTTTTATTTTTTTTCAAAACCAACTTTATTAAATTTCAAAGGAAGATAAAATACAAATTAATAAAAAGAGATTAACAAATGAAGGGATTGGAGTAGAAAAAAGTTAAGTGACAAGAGAAAAGAAGGGCAAAAACAAAAAGAATGACTTCCAACTTTCTTTAGTAAATGTATAAATATATAATAAATAACCTCATACTATAAATTAAAACAAAAATATCATATAAATGATGCAAACTAAATCATGCAAACTAGGGCTATATAGCAAAACAGCTATTTATTTTAAATGTAAACAAACCTTTAAAAACTGCCTTTCTAAAAAATACACAGTATTTCTATAATCATAACAAATCTAATTAGCAAATCCTAAAACTTCATTTTTATCTTTCTTAAGTAAGAAGTCCAAAAGGGTATCCATGTATAAACAAGCTAGAGAAACTTTTATCTTTAATCAAAGTGGTCAAGAAATGATAAATGTTTTTAAAACTTCTTTGTACCCATTAGTATTAAAGTGCCAGCATTCAAGAATGGGGGAGACCAACACAGAGCTGTTCTGACCATGGGACAGAAATTAAAAGAGCAAAACAAAACAAAACCAACCACAGCCCAACTACACAATGCTCCAGACAGCTCACAAAATGTTAGTGGTCTGTTTCAAATGCAGCAAGAATATTATAGATCACAGGGTGAAATTACAAAATACTACAACCCCCCAAGAATATTCTTTAAGACATGTTTTTACTAAGCATAAACGATGGAATTACATACAATTCTTTAATTTATATAGAGAAATAAAGAACTTTATAGAACAGTACAGAAACATCAAGAATCCAGTGTAGATGGATTCCCCCCTCCCTTTTGGGGGGAAGGGGGTGTGGATTTCAAGCTTGAATGGGAGGCTTTGGAAAAGGTGATAAATTCCCACCCTTCTGCAGATTTATTCCAGCTTGAATTCTGCCCTTAGTTTTAAAAGGAGCAAGCATGTTCTGTTTCTAAGAGAGGGAATGGCTGGGGTATCTTGCTCTCTCTGTATGTAGCAATTTTTTCTCTCACTCATGCGTATATGTAATATTCAAGCAGCCAGCACACTGTGAATGATTGACAAAGCTTTGTTCACAACAGGTACTTATGACAGACTCTCTACATAAGTGGAATTGTGGGGAATATAAATAGAAATGATGTGATCAAACTGACGTGTTACATGCTCAGCTGAGTAAGTGAAGGAGCGAGAATACGTGGCATCCAAATAGGAGAAAGGATTTTGTGGGATGTTCAAAACATTTCAAATTTGAAAATCCCTATCTTGAATTTAAAGCAGTCATTCCTTATGCAAAATGGGCTGTTTTGACTGTTTGGGAAGCGTTGTAAGCCCCAAGCAGATGATTTCAAATTTGAGAGAGAAGTGTGTAGGTTTGAAACACTTCCCAGACAATTTGGCACTTGTGTTTTGAACACAAAATAAATGTTCTGGAGCTGTTGCTTTGAATTTGAAACATTTTCTTAACTACTAGAGTTTTGAATTATTTATTATTATATTCTGCCTTTCCTCAAGGAATTTAAGTCAGTATATATAATGCCACCAGTTTTTCCAGTAAACCTTGCAATGTACCTTGGAATAACTTCTCTTCAGAGGTCCCATAGTGAAACTAGATTTGATTCTAAGGCTGCCTGGTCTTGTTCCAGTTTTTTAATCACTAGTAAAGGTAAAGGTAAAGCTTCCCCTCGCACATATGTGCTAGTCATTTCTGGCTCTAGGGGATGGTGCTCATCTCTGTTACAAAGCCGAAGAGCCAGTACTGTCCGAAGATGTCTCTGTGGTCATGTGGCCAGCATGACTAAATGCCAAGGGCACATGGAACGCTGTTATCTTCCCATTAAAGTGGTCCCTATTTTTCTACTTGCATTTTTACATGCTTTCTAACTGCTAGGTTGGCAGAAGCTGGGACAAGTAACGGGAGCTCATTCCATTATGCAGCACTAGGGATTCGAACCGCTGAACTGCTGACCTTTCTGATTGACAAGCTCAGCGTTTTAGCCACTGAGCCACTGTGTCCCTGTTTTTTAATCACTATAGGACCCATTTCTCTGTGTTTAGCATAAAAAGAGCATGACAATATTGGCCTGTAGTTCCTTTTGGAGCATTCACATTATTCACACCATTGAACAGGTAATGGCAGTGGTCTCCAACCTTTCCAACTTGGAAAGACCAGTGGTGGGGGAGAAGGGATGGTTCCGTGCAAGCAATGGGTGAGTGTGTGCACATGCAGCTCCGTTTGCACAAGTGCTGGACATGCGGTCCTGCCATGTGTTGAACTAGATCGGCACACAAACGCACCTGCTCATGCCACTTCCACAGCCTGCTTCTAAATGGGCTGTGGGCCAGTAGTGAGCCAAGGCCCTAGAGTTGGGGACCCCTGGTTTATGGTGTTTGTATACTGAACGTTTCTCAGATATTCTCTGCTTTTACCAAAAAAAAAAAAAAAATAGTAACTTTTTGGCTATATATAACTTTTCCCATAACTTTTCCCGTGCTTAAGAACTGTACAAATATGTAAAATGAATAAATGTACAATACACATTGTTTTCTAGACCTACCTTTGGGAAATGACAAGTGGAGTAGAGGAGATACCACCAGGGATTCTGAACAAGGAACACATAATATTTGGAAACATCCAGGAAATATATGACTTTCATAACAAGTATGTTTTCTAAAACATATTGAGATATGTTATTTTTTCACATCATGGAATATGCAAAATACAATTCCTATATAAAAGGTAACGGCACTATTGTTACAGAAACATATGTTCTGTCATACTCAGGATGAAGACAATGTCTGTGTGGTGTAACTATTTAGTTTAGTTTAGTTTATTTGATTTGTCAATTGTTTACAAGATAATAAGTACAAGTGTATACATAGTTGTGAATATATGAAATGGGTACATATAAGAAAAATAAGAGAATAAGAGAAACAATAGGACAGGGACGGTAGGCACGTTGGTGCGCTTATGCACGCCCCCTACAGACCTCTTAGGAAAGGGGTGAGGTCAATAGTAGACAGTCTAAGGTTAAAGTTTTTGGGGTTTGGGGAAGAGACTACAGAGTCGGGTAGAGTATTCCAGACATTGACCACTCTATTGCTGAAGTCGTATTTCCTGCAATCAAGTTTGGTGCGGTTTACTTTGAGTTTGTATCTGTTGTGTGCTCTTGTGTTGTTATGGTTGAAGCTGAAGTATTCATTGACAGGTAGGACATTGCAATGTATGATTTTATATACCATGCTTAAGTCTGACCGAAGACGGCGTAATTCAAGGTTTTCTAGTTTTAGAATTTCGAGTCTGGTGGCATAAGGTATTCTACAACAAGTAGAAGAGTGGAGAACTCTTCTTGTGAAATACTTCTGGACTTTCTCAATTGTGTTAATATCACATACGTAATAAGGATTCCAGACTGATGAACTGTATTCGAGTATTGGTCTAGCAAATGTTTTGTATGCTCTGGTTAGTAGTGAGATATTACCAGAGAAAAAGCAACGTAGGATTAGGTTAACAACTCTTAATGCCTTTTTGGCTATGTAGTTGCAGTGGGCTCTAGCACTTAGATCATTAGAGGTGAGTATTCCCAGGTCCTTTACAGAGCTTGGGTCATCAACAAGATCTTGACTATTCAGCTTGTATTTTATTTTCTGATTTTTTTTACCAATATGTAAGACAGAGCATTTATTTGTTGAGATTTGAAGTTGCCATATGTTAGACCATTCAGATACATAGTCTAGGTCTTTTTGTAGGGTAGTAGTATTGTCTGTGGTATTGAACAGCTTTACATCATCAGCGAAGAGAACGCAATTGCTCTTGATATGATCACAAAGGTCGTTTATGTAGATTATGAAGAGAGTTGGTCCTAGAACACTGCCTTGGGGAACACCACTATTGACAGGTACTGGATTTGATAGGGCGTTCCCGATTTTGACCATTTGTTGTCTGTTTGACAGGAATGCTTCTATCCAGTTATTCAGTTGTCCAGAGATACCATAGGATTTTATTTTTAGGAGTAGTTTGTCGTGTACCACTGAATCAAAGGCTTTACAGAAGTCTATGTAGATTGCGTCTATTGCTTTGCCCTGGTCGAGTTGTGTAGTCCATATGTTTTTGCAGTGTAAGAGTTGCAGATTACAGGATAGTTTTTTTCTGAAACCAAATTGTTTATTGGAGAGTAGGTTGTTTGTCTCTAAATGGAGGATGATGGATTGGTTAATAATTGATTCCATGACTTTACAGGTGACGCAGCATAAGGAGATTGGTCTGTAATTTTCAACTAGGCTTGGGTCTCCCTTTTTGAAGATAGGGATGACTGTGGCTTGTAACCATAGGTTAGGCAAGGAGCTGGTCCTGAAAGATTTTTCAAAGATTATGCTTAGAGGTTTGGCTATGGCAGTGGATAGCTTTCTTAAGAAGTACACACATATTCCATCCGGTCCAATAGATAGAGATGGTTTTAGATTGCGTAGTGCTTTTTCAACGTTGTCTACTGTAAAATCGATATGTATTAGATCATTGTTGTTATCTGTGGTACGGCTAGGAAACATTGGGCATGATCCATTACTGTTTACAAACACTGAGCTGAAGAATGTGTTAAAGATGTTGGCTTTAATGGTGTCGTCGCTGCAGTCTTTACCATCAGGTCCTATCAAGGGAGGGATGGACCTTGAGTCTTTTAGTTTGTTGTTTACAAAATTGTAAAAAGCACGGGTGGAATTGGTGCTTAGAAGGTTTTCCTCTTGTTTAATGTGATAATTGGTGCATTCGGTCTTTATCTGGTGGCATAAATTTTTGTATCGGTTTTTGAAATTAGCAACGTGACCAGATTTGTTTTTCCGCCAGAGTGATCTCTTTTTGGATTGAAGTTTCCTTATTGATATGGGTAATCTGCTTTTTTGTTTTGTTTTTGGAGTTGTTGTTGGAACATATAGTTTGATGACTCTTTTGACTTCAAGTAAAAAAATGTTGTAATGGTCTTCAATAGTATTGCATCCAGTGAATAGAGATTGCCAATCGAGGGATGAGAGATCGTTATCTATAAGATCATAGTTGCCTTTTTTGAAGTTACAATTAGGGATGACATCATTGTGGTGATTTTTGTGTGGACGTATGTTGAGGCAAAAGTCAATCATATTGTGGTCACTACTGGAAAAGGGTTCTTTGGTTTGTATTCCGTAAATTAAATTCAAACTATTGCAGAAGATGAGATCGAGGCAGTTGTTTAGTCTAGTGTTGTTGGTTACTAGTTGTTCAAGACCTAGATTTGTAATAGCATTGTAGAAGGTTGTGTGTATGATTTCAGTTGTACAATTATTTAGGGTCCAGTCGATATGAGGTAGATTGAAATCTCCAAGAAAGATAAAAGGGTATGGGCAGGATGTAGCCCATGTTAGTAGTGTATTTAGCTTATTTACATGTTCGATGTCATAATCAGGTGCTCTGTAACATAGTAAGAATCGAATTGTGATATTTAAGGATAGTTCACAGATGATGGTTTCAGGAAGGGCAAGCTCCTGGGTAACTTGGATATTTTTTAGATGTAAGGATTTTTTATAGAATATAGCAACACCACCTCCTCGACGATTTTCACGATCTGATCGGTAAACATGATAGTCTCTTACTGTGGTAATGGAGTCGGGGAGAGATGCATTGAGCCATGTTTCACAGACAAATATGATGTCAAAGTTAGCCATATTTAAGAGGATGAGAAATTCAGGTATTTTATTCACGAGGCTTCTTGCATTGAGTAGTTTGCATTTAAGTCCGGCAGCAGTTGGGATTGAGGTAGTTGGGGGCGTGCGTGCCTAGTCTTGGGTGATGGTGGGTGGTGGGTAGTTTTGGGTGATGGTGGGTGGTGGTAGGTGGTTGAGGTAGGGTGGTGGTTGAGGGTAAAAGTTGGGTATTGGGTTGCGTGTCTTACTTTTGATAGAGTCAGCATGGTAGTCAATGTACAGGTCCTTCTCTCCATTGTCTAGACGGGTTTTGAGTTCGATGCGGAGTGCACGGGAGCGGGCACGTTGCTGTATGGTTAAGTCAGGGCGGCAACGGAGGTTTTTGTGGTTGGTGTTGGTTTTGGCGAGTGAGTTTATAGTGTAAATGAGTTTACGTTTGCTTGATTCATTTTTGCAAATGATCCTGCACAAGCGTGGGGCCACAGAGCCGTCTCTATTTTTGAGCTCTCGGTCAATGCGGGAAATGTCAAGTATTTCATCACCGGAGATGGTTGATGCTTGGTAATCTCTGATGATGTTTCGGACAGTTGTGATGTCATCATTGACAATGCTGTCTTCTAGTCCAAATAAGATGGCGTTTGGACGTTTCCGTTCACGCTCAACAGCTTCTCTGATGAGGATTGGGATATCAATATTTGTCTGGGTTGTGTTTATTTGTGGATTGGGTTTTGGATTGGATTGTGGTTGTTGGGTGGAGATGTGGTTTGTAGCTATTTGATGTTCAGGTTTTTGTGTTGTGTCTTTTTTTTCAAGGTTGGTTATTCTTTCTTTTACAGCGTCCAGGGATGCTAATATGGTGTTGAGGGATGTTTTAATGGTTTCGATGGTTGAGGATGTTTCAATGGTTTCAATGTTTGGGGATGTTTTGATGGTTTCGGTGGTATCATCTCTTTTAGACAGATCTAGTTTGGATATGCATAATTTGCAGAAATATGGAAACTCATTGGATGATTCTAGGTATCGAATCATTTGCTCAGGTAATCCCAAGCAGTCATGGTGAGTGTATTTTTTACACAGAGAACATTTGATGGAGTATTTATTATCCTTTAGATTTTTGCAGCATTTAAGGCATGTGCAGGAGTCTTGAAGTTCATTGGTGCAGGAGTCTTGTAGAAAACTTAGTAGGAAACTATGTTTCCTACTAAAATATATAGTATGATGTTTGGTTGTACAGGAGGCCAAAACTATCTTCTGCCCAATAAATAATGTGCCTAGAAGTTGACATGGAAGAAGAAGTTATAATACCAATCTGTCTTCACCTGTGCCATTGGTAGCTACTCCATTCTATGCCTTAAATTGTATTGCTGCAGATGAAAATCACTTACTAATTATCAGGTTTAGAAAGGAATTTTATCTAGTATAATTGGCTTTAAGATAGAGCTTCTGTATTCATCATAGCAACACTAATACTTGGCTGTTGAGGGTTGCTATTATGTTGATTCATTGAGTAAGTCATGGGTACCATGTTGACAATGAATAAGTAATTTTGACAAGCTCTACTATAGAGCTTAGTGCAGTCATGGCACCTCTTTTCTCAAAATGGGAATTTCCTATAAAGAATATTATACACCAGTGCAGCTAAAATTAGCATTCTGTTTGCACAATTATGTGGAAGTAGCTGTTCAAAAGCCACACATTTTAATGAACCCATAACTTTGACTATCTCCTGGTCTGGGAGTAAAGTATCATGGCGAGTAGACTGTCCATCAATTGGATCCTATCCTATTTGGTATAATTTGTAGCCAATTCAAAATAAAAATGAATTGAGTTTTACTTGAGCATGAAATTTACCTTAATTTCATCTGTTTACATTTAGGACATCTGCGACCTTGAGTGATCACTTTTTAAATGTTGTGTATTCAATTAAGTTATATCTATAGACTCCTATACAATTCTGGCAACTTATAACTAGGAACCGAAATATATATTATAAATATATCAAAGATACAACAGACTGGAAGAACAAAGTAATCAAAACAAGAACAAAGCAAAACAAAACAAAGCAAAATTCATGGTGTGCCAAGGCCTGGGAGGACAATCAGGCCTTTTAGTAGTTTCCTGAACAACATTAGAGTGGGAGCCATATGAATATCTGGGGGGAGGTCATTCTGTTTGATCAATCTATTCTCCAAAAGCACCTTAAGGCAGGACAAGAAGCAATGGATGAAAACTAATCAAGGAGAGAAGCAAAACTAAAACTAAAGAGAATTTACCTGACAGTTAGAACAATTAATCAGTAGAATGTCTTACCTCCAGAAATTGTGGGTGTTCCACTCCAGCACAGGAGATTTTTAACAAGAGATTGGACAACCATTTGTCTGAAATAGCATAGGGCAGGGGTCCCCAAATTTGGCAACTTTAAGAATTGTGGACTTCAACTCCCAGAAGTCCAGAAGTCTTAATGTTGCCAAGTTTGGAGACTTCTGGTATAGGGTTTCCTTCCTGAGCAGGGGATTGGATTAGAAGTCCTCCAAAATCTCTTCCAACTCTTATTTTGCAATTCTGTTAGAAAGTTCTCCTGAAATTGCAGCCTGGGTCCCACAAGATGACAGAAACCAGAATGCATCGACTCTGCTGGACCAAAGCAGACAGACAAAAACAACTGGAGAGAAGCAGTCCCTGAGATAGATATTGTGTACTTCTTTTAAAAATAAATGTTTGCTTTGATTCTGTGGTTCCCTCCCTCAGTGCCACTAGATTCTGCAGTACTGGAAAAAATGTATACATAAATAAAATTGTGGCCAGAATGTCGATCCCATAAAGAGAATCTGTTCAATAGCATTATGGCCCATTTTCCTCTCATGTAAAACAATAGTAAAAGATGAAAAAGGCATTGGGAAGGTTAAGTTCAGAGCTGCTTACCCAATACCTATTGCCATTTTGTTTCCCCAGTGAAGAAAATATACTGTGACTAATTTCTACCTTTGTTTTCATTTCTTTCCAGTATTTTTTTGAAAGAATTGGAAAAATACGAACAACTTCCTGAAGATGTTGGTCACTGCTTTGTCACCTGGGTAATAAGTCTAAACATATTATTCTTTACTTTTGAAGGTTTTGTATATTTGTAGGTAGGTTTTGAAGAGACCAAAATGGTAGATTATATTCACTCTTTTTCTGATATAAAATAGTGAAAATAGCCTGAATTATTTATTTCCTGTCCTCCAAACCTGCTTATTCTTGTAGATTCCTGAAGCTTATTCTTATGAAACGTATTCTTTGGGAGCAGTCATGGCTGGTGTCACAAAAGTCATGATAATAACTGTAACTTTGTGATTAAAGGCTTTCCATTTTCTACATACATTGAGTGAGATTAAGCCATTGTGGCTGTTAACTTGACTTTTTAAAACTGTATTCTTTGAGCAAATCTGGGTGGATTGTACTTGTTGAATTAAGGTTTCCTTTTTTTAAAAAAACAGTAGTCATATTATTCATTTAAATCATTGATTGCCCATTGGTAGATATAACTCATCATATAACATTTTCCTGCTGCCAAAGGTTCATGAGATCAGTGCAGTATATTAGTGAGTTAAAATATTAGGTGAATCATTTCAAGTCAGGAAGTTTGTCAGAGAAATATAGCATATTGTTGAAAGGAATAAAATGTCATACTTATTTTGTTCTTCTTTGAGATCCACTGAAATGAACTATAATCTTTTATTTTCCTGTGTTCTAGTTCTTTATTATATAGATGCACACGTTGCAAAATGTTGAAAGTGGGCAGAAGCCATGTGTTACTACAAACCTTGAACTGAGAGACTTTAGGGAAATATCATTTATTAATCTAATTAACTCTGATTAGCTCCTACTATGAGTTGTACTGGCTATATTTCCATGGCCAAGGGAGATTTAAAAAGAAAAAAAGACTTTAAAGAGTGGCAGTAGGTACAATAAGATTTTCAAAGTGCTAAGTGATTTCATCATGTCTGTTCTTTCCTTATATGTCATATTTCATTCTGAAGCTAAATAAATATACTTTTTTATTAATCTGAAATATATCCATCTAAAAGAGATGGATTTATAACATTCCAGTGGAAGCCAAATGGAGAGCCCCAACCACATTTCCTAATCTTGTCTTTCTTTCCCTCTTAATATTAATTTTTCAGGCGGATAAGTTTCAGATGTATGTTACCTACTGTAAAAACAAACCTGATTCCAGCCAATTGATCCTAGAGCATGCAGGAACATTTTTTGAAGTAAGGACAATTTACGGCTTCTCTTACTTAGAAAGAGATATGTGCTGCTGTTTGGTTCCCATCTTTTCTTCTACCCCTTCCTTTTCCCTTTTGAATAACTCTTGTGAATTGATTTTTTTTTTCAATTACTGCCCCGGGATAAAGAAATCTTGAATTCCGAATTCCGCCGGGTATATCCCAGGGCATGTGTAATGTTACAGGTAGAAAACACTGAGGTTGCTGAAGTTGTTGCTTGTCTTAGAAAATGACCAAATATTCTCCAATTTTCAGATTGAAAGAAACTAGCAATAACAGCGAAGTATAAATTCATCTTCCCCTCTTGAAAAAAAATACTTTGAATAGTTCTTTTTCCCACATTTGCAATCCCTCAAGAAAATTGTCCAAAAGAGTTGATGAGAATTCTAGTTTAGATTTGGTCATGTTACAAGGATTTCAAGGGTTTGCCTATAAATGTTTGAGCATCATCAAAATATCTTAGAATGGAGTGTCACTTCCTTTTGGGGGCTTTGTGTATATCTGACTCTGTATTATTACCTCTGTCATAACACAGCAAAAAAAAAAACACCTATGAATAAAAATCAAATTATCCAAACTTGTGCCAGAAAGTCATTGCCTTATCATTTTTATCACACAAATATTGCTTCATTTGTGCAAATAATTGCATTACCAGATTCTACAGCAGAAATCATAGCAGTGGCTAGGGAAAATGCATATGTCTAAGAGAAAATAATTATGCTGATTGCTAGGGAGATAGAAAAAATTAGGTAAAATTAGGATTATTCTGGTGGTCATATGTTATTAAATCCTTTGTTGCATTCTTGCAACAAAGTCTTCTTTGAAAAAGTAACTAGCCATGATACATTTGCACTTTCCATGCAGTTTTTCAATTCAGGCCTGTCTGTTTCAGTAATTAATAGAACCGCCTATTCATTGGAGTGTTAATTAAATTGAAAATTTACAATGCAAATGCATCTCAATCATTTGGGAATGTTTTAGTCTATATCACGGTGTTTAAGAGTGTGGATTATTTTTAAAAAATAACATTGAGTAATTAGTAATTATGATTCAAGGCTAAACAGTAGGTTTTTGTGACCAACTCCCAATTCTCGGCCACACACAAGAATTACAAAAGGACAATTTTATGTAAAAATTGCATTCAAAAGCAATATGGCTATGTTTCATTTTTCCCCCTCCCTTTCTTCTGTTTGTTCCATTGAACATTCTGCTGCTTTCTCTCCCCTAAGCCCAAATAGGGGAAAGATGTCCTTATTCATTGCATTGAATAACAATCAGGTATCAATACACAAGACAGATGTTCACTTTAGCTACTCTGTTTAGCATACTTATTAATCTACCCCATATAAAAAAGTTGTCAAAGTGAGAATTAAAAAAAAACTTTAAAAAGGGCATTAGCCAACAACTTTAATATTATTTGCAAGAAAACCATGTCATCCAAAAGGGCATTAGCCAACAACTTTAATATTATTTGCAAGAAACAATTCAGAACTCTTCAATTCAGAAGAGTTTTCATATTACTTTACTCAAAGTTTACCTTGGGCTAAAATCATATTTGGTTCAATAATTTCAACTAAAGGAAGACAAGAATTTAATTTAATTGAATAAGATTCTGTAGAAATAAGAGTTCTTGCAATTATCCTTGTTACCTTGATCAAATATACAATATATAGGATAGTGCAATGTATTAACCAGCAGAGGGCCTAATACTAAAGGAAACAAGGCAGTAAAGTTCAATTTATTGGCATTCGTGTTTGCAGAATTTTTTTCTGTCTCACTCATCTCATGGATTAGGATTATTAACAATAATGTGACCATTCTCAGCAAGGTAGCCAGTGAATTAGGTTGTTAAACAAGTTAAACTTGTCCACGCTGATCACAGAAGTTTTAAACTTAGGAGGCGGCTGACAAAAGAAAAACCCCAACAACCATAGAACATAGTTCACACTGGTAAATCATGAGGCCTAAAAACCAGAGGTGAGCAAATAATGATTCTCTGGAAGTTCTTGAACTGTAACTCTTAGAGCCCTTTCCTATTTTAAATATTAGTGGGGGCAGATTTAATTTAGGATTAATATGTATCCAGTGGTAGGATTCACAATTTTTTACTACTGGTTCTGTGGCATGGCTTAGTGGGTGTGGCAGGGGAAGGATACTGTGAAATCTCCATTTCTTCCCCACCCCACTAACCTTCTTTCCAGCTCTGTTCTGTGCAGGGCAACAAAAGAAGACCCAGCTGATCAGCTGGGACTCGGGAAGCAGAGAATAGATGGGGGCAGGGGCAGTCAGAGGTGGTATTTGCCGGTTCTCCGAACTACTCAAAATTTCCGCTACCGGTTCCCCAGAACTGGTCAGAACCTGCTGAATACCACCTCTGTACTGTAACTTATGTGCCTTATGTGCTTCCTACCCCTTTGTCTAAAAACAATAAGATTTTTTTCTCCCCATACAGAAATCTTAATATTCGATACGGTGAAGAAGAAGGGGGGGGGGGAAAAGCAGTAAGGGGGGGGACTAGATCAATTGGGGACATTTGTCCTTTAAATGAATGAAATAAACAAAATCGATCATAATAACTAGTTAATTTAAATTAATTCAACTTTGGTTTTGGTTCATAAAGGGCAACAATAGACATTGGCTCAAAAAAGCATCTATAGCATATTTCTGCACTGAGCATCGGAACTAAAGAATCTGCAAACCTTTTTGTTGCCTTCCAGTTATCTGCTTTATCATCTTTTGGGAATGTTTAGTGTTGTTTTTACTTTTTTTTTTAAAGGAAATTCAACAAAGGCATGGTCTGGCCAACTCCATTTCCTCATATTTGATCAAACCTGTCCAGAGGATTACAAAGTATCAACTTTTATTAAAGGTATGCTATTGATTTTGTTGTTATTCTCATATGTATTTACATACCTCATACTAAGGTCACTCAATAAATTTTTGTAAGTTGAGGACTACCTATATTTATAAAGGGGATGTCCAAGATGATATGGAAAGACTGTCTGGAGATTATGAGCACCTGTGTTTCTTGCTCCTACTCTCCTCTTGTCCTTCCCTCATTCCCAGAGCTCATGAAGAAATGGAACCAACACCCAGGAGTCAAAGTAATGAGTAAAACCAAAGGCTAGGTAACCCTACTGAGAAAGAGGCAATAAGAAAGGAGGCAGCAGCTGAGAAAACTAGAGGGAAAAATGTGTTTATTTCCTTCTCTCAGAGAGGTGCCAGGTAAAAGATCTTCAAGCCATTTTCCTCAGCCAAAATTCAAAAGAGGAAAAAACGGTCAAGAAGCCAAGCCAAGAACAAAGAAGCTGAAAAGAGGAAGGGAAAAAGTAACTTTGACAGAATGGAAACAACCTAAAAATGATACAATACAAACTGATTTCTTAAAAAGATGTAACTGCACAGACAGTGGGAGTTTAGGGGTTTAGATCACAGAAATATAAATGTCGGCAATGTATTTGAGGCACAGAATAGAAAGCTATGAGAATATAGCGAAATTGGACTTTGTACAGATATTGGACAAAATATTGTACAGATAAATAGCACATTAAAAAATAAATGGTTAAAACAGAAAATGGTTTCATTAAGATTAATTTCTGAACTAGTTGAAGACATTTATTAACTTACATTTCTTTTCTAATTTATAAGCTTTCCTTTTGTAAAATAAAAACATCTCCCCCCCTCGCCATCAATGAAGGGCGATACAAAAATCTAACAATCTAAATTTCAAATGCTTTTTGCCTGTTGGGTCTGATTCCACCTGATTATTGGTGTCTCAAAAAAAAAATCCACCCTGCAATAATTGGTGGCAATGGTGGAGTTGCCTCAAACTAAAAGAAACCTAATGCTACAAATGAAAAGGGAAAAAAGAATAGGAAATAGATAGTCCTCAACTTACAACCCATTTGTTTAGTGATCAAAGCACCAAAAGGTTTTTTCACATGACAGCACCACTGTGATCATGTGATCAAAATTTGGATGCTTGGCAACTAATTCATATTTATGACGGTTGCAAGGTCCCGGGGTCGTGTGATCACCTTTTGCGACCTTCTGACAAGCAAAGTCAATGGGGAAGCCAGATTCACTTAACAACCATATTACTAATTTAACAACTGCAGCGATTCATTTAACAACCGTGGCAAGAAAGGTCGTAAAATGAGGCAAAACTCACTTAACAACCATCTCACTTAGCAACATAAATTTTGGGCTCAATTGTGGTCCTATGTCAATCTCCTATCTCTACAGGGAGGAAATTTGGTCCACATACATCTCATACCCTGCAGGCACTGTCCAGAATATTTGCCTCAGAAAGAAGACATTGAACCAGAGTTTATACTCTGCAATGAGAGATGGAAAAGTCTGAGGGCACTGCTGCACATGTTGATGCTAAGAGTAGTGCTCCTTCTGAGGAAGCTGATGTCTGGCCTCGGCCTGTTAGGCCAAAGGAAGGGTAAACAATTAGAAAAGGGGTTAGAACCTGCTTCCTGAGTTAATATTAGTTCAAAATACTGAAGCCAAATTAGGAAGAAGGGACTTGGCTGATCAAGAAAGATGAAGATAAGCCAATTGGGATGGAGGCTGAGTGGAAGGATCAGTTAGAATTATGTAAGAGAGAGGCATGTAGAGAAGAGGTTAGGGCAGTGATGGCTAACCTTTTTGGCACCAATTGCTCAAAGCGCAAGAGAGCGCGCATCCGCAAAATGCCACATGCGCGCATGCCCCATGCATGTGCCCTGCCCCCTGTGCATGCGTGCACACCCTGCACATGCATGCATATGCACACTGCCCATGCACATATAAGCATGATCCCCGCACGTGCGCCCTGCCCCCTGCGCATGTGTAGCAGAGACCCAAGGACCAGCTGGCTGGCGGGAGGTGCGCACGCATGCACAGCAGAGCTGAGCTGGGTAGATGGCTCACATGCACAGAGAGAGGGCTCTGCATATCATCTCTGGCACACATGCCATAGGTTCGCCATCACGGGGTTAGGGGATTGCTCAATCTCATCCAGGCTCAGAAAGGTCATTTTCTCCTTCAACAGTTATTGGACAAGTAAAGAGGGAAGGCGGTACCAAAGATATAACAGAGAAGGAAGATATTAAAATATTTTACTAGACTTGAGCAGATTGTTGCCTTATTTAAATGATCTAAGGATGAATAGTGACCCAGGTGATAACTTAAGGCCCAGTTTAACAGGTAAGGCCTTTCAGCCAGAATTGGCAAGCCTAGGCCGACAAGGCAGAGAAGCTAGGTATTGCACAGAACTGACTACATATATAACTTTCTCTCTCTACTTTCCAGTGGATGGCAGGATTAACTTAGGGTTACTATAATTCTTTGCATCAGTTGGAATCAACCATAGGGGCTGCTATAAAGCTATATCATCTCAAATTCTTAGAAGGATTCTTTGACTATTGGGATGACTTTTATTTCCAGTCTGGAAAAAAGTCACTGATCTAGATGTTATACAACATGACTTTTTGGCTCATTATTTACACTCTCTCAGCTTTTACTTACTTTATGTTGTGGCTCTGATTCCCGAGCCTGTGCTGTTAGAGGAAGAGGACTTGGAAGATGAGGAGGAGGAACTGGGAATGCCTTCCTCCCCAGGACCTTCCTCTTTGGCAATGCCTTCCTCCCTGATAATGCCTCAGGTTTCATCAGACAATTGAGAGGAACAGCCTGAGATTAATCAGGAGGAAGGCATGTCGGAGCAGCCCCTGACAGGGAATCAGGAGGAAGAATGTTGGCTTGATCCTAAGCAGCGTCGTAGGGAGAAACGTGAGCAGCAACGTAGGAGGCGTGGGAGGGTCAGAGAATGAGCTGAGTCATTGGGGATAAAAGTGGGTGTGTTGTCGGCTGGAACTTTGTACGGGACAAAGTTTGATCTTACTTCAGGTTTTCTTTGTGAATGATTCTTGTGGTCTGCCTTGTAATTTTTTGTAAGTAGCTTTTTACTTGTTATCAGTTTGGACTTGGCAGGCAGAGCCTGTTGGAATGCCAAGGACGTTATCAGTTCCAAATAATTAACTCTGTGAAGTCCAAGCCAGCCTGCCTGCCTGTGTTTGTGTGAGTTTGTACTTTTTCATCTTTTGGGAAAGAAGAAAGGTGAGACAGAACACTTTAGTAATGTAGAATTTAAGTAACATATCTTTGATACTGACCTTCATGGAGATTAGAATAATCCCTCTTCCCAACCTTCTTGGGAAGGCTTGGGTAAAAGACCATTTCAGGTAGCCAAGTAATACTTTAAGTATATCATGTCAAAGTACCTTTTCCATAGAAATATTTAATTCCTTATCTTCTCAGTTATCAGGGAACTGAAACAATACTCTGCTACACAATCTATAAATCTGGGGTGTTGAATCAAGACAATTTTATTTTTCATAGTCCTTTTCACACACCTTGACATTCAGACTTAATAATCCCTTAATTATGAAAGTGTTGCAGTTGCTTTAATAAGAGAACTTGCCATCTCTTGGCTGTCACAGTTCCTGAAGTATATAAGAACACAGTCAAGTATTTCACAATTACCACAGCTATAAAGAAACTAACTTACATCCTGCACAATCACAAGGAAACAAACTTATCCAGGGTTTTGGTTTTGTTTATGCATTTTTTTCCAGGAGCTTTTAACATGCTGTGAAGAAGGAAAAGGAGAACTCAAGGATGGTTTGGAAGTAATGCTCAGTGTCCCTAAGAAAGCCAATGATGCCATGCATGTAAGCATGTTGGAAGGTAAGTAAATATTAATCTGCCAGGGAAGAGAATGGGCAGGGATTGGACAGGTTGTAGATATAAGGCTGATGTCTATTTGTCTGTCTTATTGATAACTATGAAGTAGTTAATAATGAATAACTATGAAGAATAGCAGAGTAGGAAGGGACCTTGGAGGTCTTCTATTCCACCCCTCTGCTCAGGCAGGAACCCCTATACTATTTCAAAGAAAAGGTTCTCCATCCTTTTCTTTTTTTTTTTTTTAAAACAAGTTTTATTAAAAGTTTCAACAACAAACAAATCATTACATATTAAATCTTTCCCTGTCTTTCTACAATAATTTCCCCAATATTCTCATAAAACACAAACAAACACAAACAAACATAAAAAAATCTTTTAGTAAAGTACCTTGGCCCCAGTTACCTCTCTTTGCATGGGCTAAAATAATAGCGCATATCACTCTTCACAATTCTATCTTATTTAATCCATCTTAATTAAATCATTAAATTTGTATCTTTTGCCCATTCATTATCCCTCTATCTCTTCTTATAATAAAAAGAATTTCTCCTGAAATCACTAATCAGAGTATGATGCCTTTCTATCCTCCCCCTAAGTTAGTAAAATTAAAATTCAACATAACAAATACCCAATTTGGTTCTGCTTGGTACATTCTATCCACCAAAAATGTTTAAATACATTGTATCCTCCTTTCCTTCGATATTTTATTACATTTCAAAAATCAATCATTATTAAATCAATCATTATTAAAAACTTCAACATTTCAATTTTAAACTTCAACATTTTAATTTCTTATTAAATCTTAAACCATTCTAATTTACTATTTCAAATATAAATGTTACAATACCATCTTCTGTACCTTAGCAGAATCTTTCTTACAGAAATTTATATTTCATCCTTTATCTCTAAAAAAAATCCCTCTTCTCCCATCCAATTTTAAAGCTTTGAGGCTTTTCTCCGCCTTTCCCCTTTCTTTCTTCCCCCACCAAATCTTCCTACCCCCCCTTCTTCTTCTAACCTCTGCCTTGCTGGGATCCCTTCTCTGTTGTGTTCCCTTTTTCTCTTGTTTGTTATCATTATATTTATTTTGCATCATATTTTTCTCTTTCTCAAATGTTTTTTTAAATCTTAAGTCCTTCATTTTCCTTGCTCTCTTCCTTCCTTCTTCCTTAGATAAGTTTTGGGATTCAATGAAGATGGCGTCTTCGTCTCTTCCTTGTTGTTCTTCTTCCGTTTCCATCTGTTCCATTGTCTGTTGGTAATTGACCAGCGCCATTTCTAGAAATAGAAAAGCTTTTTCCATGCCATCTTTGCAGGCTGCCTTTGTTTGCTCATATTCATCCCTCAGGTCTTCAAAAAGGAAAGCCATTATAAATAAATCTTTTCTTTTCTTTATTCCTCTTCCTTCTTACACCAACCAAATATTCCGAGAGAAAGGCAAAACAATCCCAAAATCCACAATCCTCAATAAATCCAAGCAAGCCAAAATTCCCCCTTCCTCTTCCAGGGGTGGTATCAAACAAATAAAAAAAAAAAAGAGTCCAAATCTATATTTTAAAGCCTTATTAAGATTATATTTCTGTCCTCAAGTCTTCAAGGCATCTCCTCCAACAAGATCCAAATTTATATATTTTCTTTATCCTCTCCCTTCCGGCTTATTTCCGTCGGGAGGGAGAGTAAACTTTCCCTTCAGCACCTCAAAATAGCCGCTTTTTTTTTTCTCTTGTGGAAAAAATCATCAAAAAACCATCTTTTCCAGGAATTAAATTAGATAAATCTCAAAGTCCTGGGTCAACCAAGAAGAACTTTCACTTTCAATAACTTTCTCTTCTTCCTCCTGCGCATACTTGCCCGGCTGTCAACTTCTTTGTGGCGGCCATTACGGACCGCCGCTGCACCGTCCTGGTAAAAGGGGGTTCTGCCGGCCAGGGAGGGGGTCTGCAACACCCCCAAACCCTTCCTCCGGATCCCCCTTACCTTCAGCTACCCCTGCAGGGCAGCCTTGCTCCGCACCCGTCTGGGTCGGAGCCCCAAAACGGCTAGCGCGGCAGGGATCGCGCAGCTTCGCGAATCCCTACCGCTCGCGAAGCCGACAAACCGGAAACCCCTCCATCCTTTTCTTTAAAACATCCAGTATTGGAGCATCTTGCATCCAATTGCAAAAAAAAAATCCCACATCCAATTGCAAAAAGCATTAGGAATGTTCATGTCATGAACTGAATTACTGATTCTTAGGGCCTTCTTTTAAAAATACCTAAAGGTTCCCTTACACATCTCCAGTTGTTAAACTTTGTCCATTGCCAGGAGTACCTGAATCCTCCTTGGATACCAATTTGCTATTTCCATTCTCCCTCATTCCATAATATATTTTTGGAACTTTAATTCTTTTTTATTTACATTTGAATTTTCATCCAGAGCTGTTATTCCTTCACCATAACTCTTGAGGTCATCTGGATGCACATTCCAAGTAGTTCCTCTGATATACTGAGATAGACCAGTCTTCCATTGAGCTCAGTACCATTTAGCCATGGATTGAGTGTGGGTTTTAAAACCAATGTTACCAGGGTTATTTTTTTCATTTTTGTTTGTATTTATCACAGGGTTTGATGAAAATTTGGATGTTCAGGGAGAACTGATTCTTCAGGATTCATTCCAAGTTTGGGATCCCAAATCTCTCATCCGGAAGGGTCGCGAGAGACATTTGTTTCTCTTTGAAATCTCTCTAGTTTTCAGCAAAGAGATAAAAGATTCTACAGGACATACTAAATATGTTTACAAGAACAAATTACTGGTAAGTCTGCAAGGATTTTTATGGGCTTCAGAACCTTTATTATGTTGGGAGTGGAAGATAAGTCGAATTTTCTGCTTGATTCTGTATGATCACACTTCACATTGATTTATTTTATTGTACTTTACTAAAGTAAGAACGGTTAAAATAGATACAAAAAGGCTAAAAAATGACTTTATTATTCAGTTCGTAGTATAAAAATGTACTTGGCCATTATAGTGAACTCACTGTGAGCATCATTCAAAAATTCGTGAAAATATCAGTTTCAGCCATCTCTTCTTTCCTTACAGACCTCAGAACTAGGAGTAACAGAGCACGTGGAAGGAGATCCATGCAAGTTTGCCTTGTGGTCTGGACGAACTCCCTCTTCGGATAACAAAACAGTGTTAAAAGTAAGTCTCCAAAATTATTTTTCTTTATCTCCAATGCTTTATAATTATTTTCTTCAATCGAAACATCTGGACCAATAATCACAATCTGAGTCCTTTTCCCATTCAATTGAATTTTTACAGAAACCCATTTCAGATCTTATATATATATATAAGATAGGCATATATAGGCGCCAAAGCCTATATATTACAATATATACACCATATATTAGGAAGTAGCCTTCAGCTGCTGCTAATTTGTTCCCATTTCCAAGGCTATCTTCATCAAGAATTCATATTTTATTATTGCTCTTACCTAGCTCTTCTCTTTATTTGAATTTAGCTTAACTGGCTGTAAGTCTAGTAATGATCATGGCTATATACCCAGGTCTTAGACATAAGCCATGTTTTTTTCACCATGTTCCCATTTTTGTGCAATTTACCCTAGCGGTTTTTAACAATAGGTTTTTAAAACTATCCCCTATCTTCCCCACTAGGGGAAGACCTCATGAAAAGATGTAACATTATAATGTATGTATAGTCATCTATATCTTGAAAGGAAATTGTCCTAAACTTCATTAGATTAGAATGAAATGATCTGCTGTTTTAACGCACTATGAAGTAAACAACACTATTTACCTTTTACTGATCGGAGCAGAAAGTACTTGATGGAAATGTTATTTATAATCATTTATTTCTTTAAAAACTGTCATATGCCAAATAGCTCTTAGTGGTAATGGTGGTTTTTTTTTTTTTAAGGCTAGGTTCATTTTATAGAGCTCCGTCATTTTAGAGGCTTTGTTTGATAAACTAGCAATACAAGAACAACAGTTTCCCCTCTATAGGAATATTATACTGTAGATATTACATATGGGTGTATGTATACTGCATTGGGTTGGGTTGGGTAGGGTCATATTATACATCACACACACAATACATATATTATTTTACCTTTATCTGCATTTTTTTTACTAGCAATGTACATGAACTTTTGCTATCTTATCAGGAAAACTGTTCTGTTATATAGCCAAATGAATGAAAGCAACTTTTGAAAAGAAGCAAAATACAGGGCCCTACTTGAAAAATACTGTACTTCTATCTTCTGCCTTTTCTGTTCAAATGTTTAGGCAACCAGTATTGAAACTAAACAAGAATGGATTAAAAATATTCGAGAAGTGATACAAGAAAGGATTATACATTTAAAAGGAGCTTTGAAAGAGCCAATTCAACTCCCCAAAACCCCAGCCAAGCAAAGGAACAACAGTAAGAGGTAATCGTAATCATTTTGTGAATGTTCTATATAAAACAACTGTTTTGCCAGAGAATGTTCTATATAAAACAACTGTTTTGCCAGAGAAAGTGTGGATCAGCACTATAAATTCAATCTGGATTTAAACCATTGTTGAATAATAATATGAGTAAACCCACATACCATGGTAAGCCACACACACACACACACACACACAAATCTAAACCAGATCATAGTTTAGTGAACTATACCAGTATAAGATATATAACAGCTCTTGCACTTTGTAGATCAAGTATAGACTTCCTGCGGAAGGAATATAATTGGTGAAAATAGATTTTAGCTTATAAAACTATGTTTAGTGAGGTAATGCTTAGTCAGATCTGTCTGTGTGTTTCTGTCTGTCAGTCTATCTGTCCATCTATTTGGATCCAGATTATGTACTTTGTTTTGATAGGATTAGAATGATGTTAAAGCAATAGCCCATGACAAGGAGATGCTAACCTTCCCTAGAAGTCATTGTATTAATAGTCTGTATTGATTAGATTAGATTATTGATAACATACTTTACAAGATTCATGTCTTCTAATTTTTTTTATAAAAAACGGTTCTAGCATTCAAGTTCCTTGCAGTAGCATCCTATAAACAGAAATTGGAATGAAGGGTGGAAAATACTTCATAGCGTTTCAAATTATCAGAAATATTTTAAAAAGAAAATAAATTAGTTTGTTCACATTTTATATTTTTCAAAGTTTGATAGCTTCATCATTATTTAAATCTCAGAACATGAGGAATTGACATCAGTTTTGTAAAAACAGCTAGACTATAATTTAGATGGCTGGGTTTGGTTAAGTGAGAAATCCAAGCAGAACAGGTCATTGGCCTGCCACATTCATTATGGGGCTATTTTGAGATATATTGCTGTCACTATATAAACCTGGAATAGTCAGTTTTAAAGAGCAAAAGTGGTTATTATGCACTAACCTCACTGTAGGGATGACATCAGCATTCTAAATTACAGGCTAAGTTGTAACGTGTGTGATCAGCTGAACAACCTCTTCTTCACACTGTGCCTGAACACTTCAAATTCATTCAAGAAATTTCTTCCTGTTTTTTTCCTCTGCAGAGAGGGAGGAGAAGATGCCGACAGCCAAGGAGATGGGAGTAGTCAGCCTGACACAATTTCAATTGCATCCAGGACTTCTCAGAATACAGTAGACAGTGACAAGGTAGGATTTATTCTGGAAAATCTGACAGCTCTAAAATACAGAAGAACAGGTGAGAAACAAATATGGAGTGGCATTTACTCTTAGAATTAAGTGCCCTGCGCTGTTAGTAACAATAGCTGAGAAATAAAACTATAGTTTTATTTCTCAGCTATTGTTACTAACAGTGCAGGGCACCTAGATTATGTTATATGCCAATTGTCACATATAATGTATATTCCTCAGTGGCTGTCTACTCCACTTTCTGCAACCATAGGCATACAGGAAAAGCCAATTATGCATATATTGAAACCCTGAGTCATTTTTTTATCTGTACGCAGGGAATGGGTGGGGAAGTGTTTTTAAAATAATACCTTGAAAAGAACCACCAAGATTCTGTGTAATGTGTTGGCTGAACCTCAAAATGGAAGATGCTCAAGAGTCTTTCATGCTTTATTGTTCATGGAATGCATACTGCTTCTGAACAAAGAAAGATAGGAAGGATGGCAGAAAAAGAACAGAGAGCCATGGGCAAATTAGGGCCAGCTTGACTTCAGAGAAGTCATGGCAAAACCAAAATATTTTCAGTTTTTGTTTGTTTTAGAGAAGCTGCCAGTTGTCCCCTTGAACAGTTTGCTATCTTTGTTTGGTTTTAAAACTATGAATGTTAGGCTGCTGATGTTATGCATGCTGAAGATTTGTGTTATGGTAGCCTCATTTACATTTTCAGAAAGCAGATCTCAGAAGACACAGCATAGGTGTATGTGTGTGTTTATATTTGCAGCAAGCCCAGTGACACAAAGCTTTCCAGAGAAAATTGGAGGGAATTGTGGGGAGGTTGACAAAGAATTTGTGCTACTCAGCTCCAGGAGTAGGGCTTGGTACAGATGGACAACAAGCCTTTTGAAGCTAATATTCAAGTGGACAGACTATCAGTTGTGAAAACTGGTGCACATTTTAAAATATGGGGCCCAGAATATAAAATCCAAATTGCATTGTAGAATGATGAAGAAATTGTTTGGATGAACTAGAAGGCAAGATTATTATTTTTTGCTATAGTTTTCTTTTCTCTCCACAATTAAAATTCCATGTGTTTCAAATTAAAATTTCATTTGATATCTGGCTCGATGTTACTTTCAAAAGGAGCAAAGCTTTATTGCCTGAATAAATATTCTGTGTGTGTAATATTTGGAAACAGCATTGATGATAATGATAAGCCATGTTCTCTGTTTGGAGAACCAGTCTGGGTTACAAAAAATAAATTGTGTATTTCTAAAAACACAAATAATATCTGCCTTATAGATATGTGCCAGTATAATTGGTTTCTTTCCCAAATAAAGTGTGAATGGTATCACCCTTTGTAGTCAATAGGTTCAGCAAATACATGGGTCATATGCAGTCTGAAAGCTTCTTGTCTTTACTTATTTTAAGACCATGTTCTATCTATCTTGCTTTTATAATTAGAGATAAGTAAACACATTATGTTGGTTGCACAATATTTTCATTCAAGAAATAGTCAACGTTTTAGAAAAGCAACTGCCAGTGGCGTTCACAGAGGGGGTCAAAACAAGCAAGAGCAGCAAAGTTAAAACTTTTCTATGTGCATGCAACATCAACACACACACAAAAGGGGCAGAGCTTAGACTTAGCTGTTTTCACCCCCTCCGTGGACGCTATTGCCACAGTCAAAGACTGTTGTCTTGATTTGTGCATATTTCAGATACGATAAGTAAAGCAGTTGGTTTATTCCTATCACTTTGCTGCTATCCATTTTTCGCACAACAGGGGAAATTTCCCTCATTCAGAATGCTGCAACAAGAGTAAATTTGACCTCTGTGATTTTCCATTTATTCTTCCTCAATCAACACCTCAGTTGCCACGCAGCATACCAATACAACTAAATCCTGACTTTCCAGATTCTTAACCGTTCATTCAGGAATTGTCTTACTGGCAGAAGGCTCCCAGAGACAGTATACCAAGATTAGCCTCTTTAACAGGAAGAAGAATGAAGCCATCTAGTCACTGCCTTTGCCCACTGCAACATAGAAAAATAAAAACCTTATCCCAGTCTGTGCTCCGTGGTTTAAATTCTAGACTTTTTTCTCCTGCCTTTCTAAATCGGAAGGTTAACTGTTATAACTGTTCTCATTAGCATGGAAATTGTTTGTTCCTGCCTCACCAGCTTCATTTATTTTAGTATGTTTTTTATTTTTTATTTTTATTTATTTTGATTTGTCAATTGCTTACAAGATAATAGGTATAAGTATATACATAGTTATGAATACATGAAATGGGTACATATAAGAAAAATAAAAGAAACAATAGGACAGGGACAGTAGGCACTTTGGTGCGCTTATGCACACCCCCTACAGACCTCTTAGGAAAGGGGTGAGGTCAATAGTAGACAGTCTAAGGTTAAAGTTTTGGGGGTTCGGGGAAGAAACTACAGAGTCAGGTAGAGTATTCCAGACATTGACCACTCTGTTGCTGAAGTCATATTTCCTGCAATCAAGTTTGGTGCAGTTAACCTTGAATTTGTATCTATTGTGTGCTCTTGTGTTGTTATGGTTGAAGTTGAAGTATTCATTGACAGGTAAGTCATTGCAATGTATGATTTTATATACCATACTTAGATCAGACCGAAGACGGCATAATTCAAGGTTTTCTAGGTCTAGAATTTCACGTCTGGTGGCATAAGGTATTCTACAACGAGTAGAGGAGTAGAGAACTCTTCTTGTGAAATATTTCTGGACTTTCTAACTGTGCTAATATCAGATACGTAATGTGGGTTCCAGACTGATGAGCTGTATTCGAGTATTGGTCTAGCAAATGTTTTATATGCTCTAGTTAGTAGTGTGATATTACCAGAGAAAAAGCTACATAGGATTAGGTTAACAACTCTTAATGCCTTTTTGGCTATGTAGTTACAGTGGGCTCTAGCACTTAGATCATTAGAGATGAGTATTCCAAGGTCCTTTACAGAGCTTGGATCATCAACATGGTCTTGACTATTCAGCTTGTATTTTATTTTTTGATATTTTTTTTTGCCAATATGTAAGATAGAGCATTTATTTGTTGAGATTTGAAGTTGCCATTTGTTTGACCATTCTGACACATAGTCGAGGTCTTTTTGAAGGGTAGCAGCATTGTCTGTGGTGTTGAATAGCTTTACATCAGCAGCGAAGAGAATGCAGTTGCTCTTAATATGATCACAGAGGTCATTTATGTAGAGTATGAAGAGAGTTGGTCCTAGAACACTGCCTTGGGCACACCACTGTTGACAGGAACAGAATTTGATAGAATGCTCCCAATTTTGACCATTTGTTGTCTGTTTGACAGGAATGCTTCTATCCAGTTATGCAGTTGTCCAGAGATACCATAAGATTTTAGTTTTAGGAGTAGTTTGTCGTGTACCATTGAATCAAAGGCTTTACAGAAGTCTATGTAGATTGCGTCTATTGCTTTGCCCTGCTCGAGTTGTGTAGTCCATATGTTTTTGCAGTGTAAGAGTTGCAGATTACAGGATAGTTTTTTTCTGAAACCAAATTGTTTATTAGAGAGTAGGTTGTTTGTCTCTAAGTGGAGGATAATGGATTGGTTAATAATTGATTCCTTGACTTTACAGGTGACGCAGCATAAGGAGATTGGTCTGTAATTTTCAACTAGGCTGGGGTCTCCCTTTTTGACCGTGGCTTGTGACCATAGGTTAGGCAAGGAGCTGGTCCTGAAAGATTTTTCAAAGATTATGGTTAGAGGTTCTGTTATGGCAGTGGATAGCTTTTTTAAGAAGTAGGCAGATATTCCGTCCAGTCCAATAGATAGAGATGGTTTTAGATTGTGTAGTGCTTTTTCAGCATTGTCTTCTGTAAAATTGATATGTATTATATCATTATAGTTTTCTGTGGTTCAGCTAGGAAATAGTGGGCATGATCCATTGCTGTTTACAAATACTGAGCCAAAGAATGTGTTAAAGATGTTGGCTTTAATGGTGTCGTCGTTATAGTCTTTACCATTAGGTCCTATCAGGGATGGGATGGACCTTGAGTCTTTTAGTTTGTTGTTTACAAAATTGTAAAAAGCGTGGGTGGAATTGGTGTGTAGAAGGTTTTCCTCTTGTTTAATGTGATAATTGGTACATTCAGTCTTTATCTGGTGGCATAAATTTTTGTATCGGCTTTTGAAGTTGGCAATGTGACCAGATTTGTTTTTCCGCCTGAGTGATCTCTTTTTGGATTGAAGTTTCCTTATTGTTATGGGTAATCTGGTGTTTTTTTTGGGGGGGGGAGTTATTGGTATATATAGTTTGATGACTCTTTTGACTTCAAGTAAAAATATGTTGTAATGGTCTTCAACAGTATTGCATCCAGTGAATAGAGATTGCCAATCAAGGGATGAGAGATCGTTGTCTATAAGATCATAGTTGCCTTTTTTGAAGTTATAATTGGAGATTACGTCATTGTGATGATTTTTGTGTAGGCGTATGTTGAGACAAAAGTCAATCATATTGTGGTCACTGTTGAAAAAGGGTTCTTTAGTTTGTATTCCGTAAATTAAATTCAAACTATTGCAGAAGATGAGATCGAGGCAGTTGTTAAGTCTAGTATTGTTGGTTACTAGTTGTTCCACTCCCAGATTTGTAACAGCATTGTAGAAGGTTGCATGTATGGGTTCAGCTGTACATTCATTTAGGGTCCAGTTAATATGAAGTAGATTGAAGTCACCAAGAAAGATAAAAGCGTTTGAGCAGGATGTTGCCCATGTTAGTAGTGAATTTAGCTTGTTTACATGTTCGATGTCATAATCAGGTGCTCTGTAACATATTTGTATATGTAATAACATATTATGTAACACATGTTTCCACTTTTGCCATAATATAATTTTTAGTACAATTATTTCCTTAGTGTTCCTTTGGATTCCCTACTGTGGTGATATTTAAATTGTACATTGGCACCAGTACATGTACCTACATATAGCAAAACATGATACATAATCATCACTGTATGTGTCCTCTACATGGCTACTTT